TTGGGAATCTATAATCTCAGTGTTTTAAACCCGGTCTGACCCGGCCGGTTGAACTGAGACCCGAGGCCTTCACCGAGTTGGGTTACGAATTTTCCTATTAATTCAAAACCTTATAAATTAAGACATCAATCCGTGAACAACTGAAGGCTGAGATGTTAGGCTTTTTGAAGAGGAATGGCCAATGAGTTGAATGGTAGCAACATAGGTGATTTCCGGTGAGTGAATAGACTAGAAATCACAAAACTATGTTGTTGGAAAAAGCTCTCTATTGTCAATAATTGGGGAGGCAAACGGGGGAGAGGTGAAATGAGTTTTGGTCAAGAGATTGAGGGGAGTGTTTTCATGATGATGGAGAGTTTTGCTGTCGTAAAAAACTGACCCTATTTACTGATCAATTGCGAGCTGCTACCTTAGGGTTGTATAAAAAAGTTGTATGAAAAAATTGTAAGTGTAGTTTTATTGTTAAGAAAATGAACAGGATTGGGAGTTCATTGTACATAAAAGAGAAAATTTAAAAGAGTAATACTATACTTACAAACTTTCTCATACAAATTGATGTGGTAAAAGATGATTCAATGACTTTAATTAAAGATAAACTTTTATCCAATCATCTTTTGTTACATCAATTGTATAAGAAAGTTTATAAGTGTAGTAGTATTATTTAATTTAGAATATTATGGAGGTGCCAACTACCAACTCAAGTTGCTGAGTTGTACCGCAAGCCATTTAGAGACTAACACATGTCGACCTCAATATAAACTTAAATTTAATTTTTGTATTAATATTTTTAATTTCAAAAGTTAAAACTAAATCCTAATTTCTTCGCGTTGCGTATCTTCATCATCTTTCTAACGTTGTCGCCTCCATGCTAGGAGTGGAAATTTTCGACTTCATTTGCTAATAATGGGATCTTAGCTAACAATGACTGGAAGCATGATCTTTTGCGAAAGAGAGAAAGGCAGCAAAATTGAAAATTTGAAATTGCTCAAATAATGAAATATCAATTACAAAATTGAAATATAAGATAAAGCTAAATGATATCGAGGGTGCGCTAGGTTCGGTGAATGTTTTATTATTGAAAATATAGGATTATCATCGAAATAAATTACCTTAAAGATTACGGTAAAATGATATATCAATATGTTTGGTTAGATTAGTGGGTATAAATAATTAAGATGTTTGATTAGGAAGAATAAAATATTATCGACAGAGGTTTTACTGAATTGTCTTTTCTTTTTAATATCATTATAATAATAATAATATTATTATTTAAATAGATTTTTTTAACCTCCTGTATTTGAGAATTTAGCTAAAACACCCTAACAACAAAGTTTAAATTTTAACAAAATACCGCCAGCCACTTAAGACCACCGCTGGTCACCGGCATCAGTCACCAAAATAGTGCATGACTAGCGAGATTAGATTGGTCGTGCGCCATTTTGGCTGTTTTCGGCCAAATCAAAGGCCGAAAACAGCTAGATCAATATGGATCTAGCCGAAAACAGTCAAATCCACGACGATCTGGTTGTTTCCAACCAGATCCACCTGATTTGGCTGTTTCTGGAAAGATCGAAGGCCAAAACAACCAGAAAGCCATGGATCTGATAAGAAACAACCACAAACGGCTGATCTATTATGGCCGTTTTTTTCCAGATCCATGACGATCTGACCGTTTTCATCCTTCAATCTGATCGAAAATAGCCAAATTGGTGCACGGCCGGCTAGATCCTGCCGGTCGTGCATCAATCTAATGACTATTGCTGGTGGCTGACGATGGTGGCTGGTGACCGGTGGTGGTCTTTGGTGGCCGACGATGGTGGCTGGCGGTCGGCGATGGTCTTTGGTAGCTAGGGGTATTTTGTTAACTTTTAAACTTTTTGTGATTGGGGTATTTTAGCTGAATTCTAAAATGTAGAGGGTCTGGCTTGATTGTTATTTGGTAGACATTTGAGTGTAATTGTGTCCAGAATGGTATTTAATTAAGGGTAAAATGGGTATAAAATTAAGATTACCCCGATAATCTTTAAATATCATCATTTGAGGAGGTAATATGATTACCCCCTATTTAACCCACATTATTCACTATTGGTATTAAAAGATTACCGAAATATTTTATTACTTGATAACAAAACAAGAGAATGTTCGGAATTAAAGATATATTACGGGAGTTATATTTCCAAAGCCCTAACCAAACACACCCTAAGAGATAAGGCTCGTTATTGGACCTATTGGTTACAAACGATATCTTTGTCATTTGCATTCTCATTTCAATTTAGAAATATTATACTTTCCCCTAATCTAACATTAGGTTATAGCACAATACACAAATTGAATGCATAACCGATCACAAAGGCGTGGCAATGCCTAAATATTATAAAAGTTTCATTTTTTAGATGATAAATATTATAGTTATAAATAAGTAATCCTAATTCCTGGTTCCAAAATTTGTTGTTGTTGTTGTTTTTTTTTTTTTCAGTTGGGTTTTTATGTTCTCTGGATTGCCATCTTAATTTCATATATGTACCCTTATTTAGCCTAATTAAACTAGCTGAGAAACACCTATACGATATCGTATGATTTGATTTTCTTTTTTGAGGTACCTGAAGTATCTAGGCCAACATTGGAGCTTGCCTAATCTTCAGGGTCATAGAATACCCTTTAAGTCCAATGGACTAACCTAATCCTTAGGGCCACGGAACACCCTACAAGTCTAATGGACCAAGGTAATTGCACAAATCTTGTAGGTACCTCTCCTGCAACTCGAATACAAGACCTCATAAGTATAGCTAACCCTTGTGGTTAAAGGGTTTGTTATCAACCACAAGCAGGGCGGATCCAGCCCACTTTTGGGTGGGCCATGACCCACTCTCAAATTTTTAAAAAAAAAATATTAATATATATAATCTTTTGATTTTGGCTCACCCTAACAAAAATATTAATGGACAAAAATATCAATATGTAATTAGTTTTTATTTTAGCCCACCCTAAAAAAAATTTATGGATCCGCCACTGACCACAAGGGAAGAGGTTATTAGTTTGAAATTTGAGAGTGTAACACTAAAGAAATAAATATTTTCATTAAACCTATACATAATAATCACACCATATTCATAAAGTAAGGTCTTTCAAAGGATAACATACTTTAATCAAAAGTAGCCTGCACTATGAATATATATCCATATATGAATCATACCTAACTGCAGCATGCAAGTATTGAACATCTTGGCCCCAATTGACATATATTTAGAATGTGGGACTTGATTAAAATTAAGGTCAGCAGAAGTAAAGCTATTTTAAAAGTTAGACAAGAATCTTGCTTAAAGCCATAGCTATATATGTAGTGCTGGAGGAGACATACTAAAATGGAGATCAGCTGCTTTTAAATCCAATTTATAACACAAGAGGTCAATGAATGGAATCCAATGTGATTTTATTTGTGTCCTTATCTCTATGCTTTTCTTTAGGGTCTGTTTGACTTGTAATTCGAAAATAATTTAAAAAAATTAAAATATAATTTAAATTTCTAAATTATATATTTAATACAGTAAAACTTCTCTATAGTCATAATGGTGGAAACAAACTAATTTTATTAATTAATTAATAGAATATGTCAAATCCAAGGTGTGTATATATATTAACCGAGGTATCCAGGTCCATTTGCAAGCCGTACAACCCCCTTGCAAGTCGCATAACCCCCAGACGGGTTATTGAACCCAATATTTGGGGATAACCGTAGGACCCTACCATCAACAACCCCCTAGGTAAGATGGGGTGCCCATATGTGGAATTGAACCCAAGATGTCTAGCATAGACCGAAAATCTCCAATGCGCCTCTTACCATCCAAACAGACAACTCATCGGTGGCTGATATATTTTTTACAATATATAGATAATTATTATTATGTGGAGACAAGTTACTTAAGACGAGGCCTAGAAAAATTATAACTTATTATAATGTGGAGTTCATTCTTATTTATAACTGATCCAAGTTGGGACCATAATTTTTATGACTATATGAAGATTATTCCTATATAGAGTATCACTATATAAAGGTTCTACTGTATTTTTAACATTGATATAATATTCAAATGCGGATTAAAAATTAAAAAAAAAAAACTAAGAAAATGATTTCTGATTTTACATTAATTTTTAAGATTTTATCCAAAAACTATTTTAAAAAACATTTGGACTTATTCTTATCAAGCGTATTTTCATAAACAAATTTGCATCCATTGTTTAAAAAAAAAAATTGTATTTGAATTTTATATCAAACATGCCTTTATATTTGTTACAATACTTTGCATTCTGAAAAATCAATTATAATTTGTTAACTTTAAGTATAGGTTTTGAAAACTAGCTCTCTAAGTGATTTTTTTTTTTTTTTTGAATATGTGGTATCTAAGTTTACACTAGAGCGTGCATAATTCTCAGGGCCACAGAATACTTATAAGTCTAATGGACCAATTTCTCTTATGAACTCGAACACAATATCCCTTAAATATAACTAACTACAGTGACTAAAATGTGTTGCTACTGGCCTAAGGGGGGAGAGCTAGCTCTAGGTGGTTTGCTTTTATAAATTTGAAGATATTTTTTTTTTACAAAAATTATGTTATATATATAACACGTTAATTTTGATTTTCTTGAAAGAAATACATTAATGGGGCGTACGTCTGCATGCAAAAGTGAAAAACTGAAGCATTATTATTATCTCACTGCAGGCTTTAATTTTTTTGAAAGTATATACAATATAATACTCAGTTAATTATTCTTTGAATCTTGACCTAATTTTATTCTTTTTGCATTGGAAGAACATAAAGCTCAGCTGTATGTGGACCCTTTGAATATCAACTTTTAAATTGTTTAATAAACTTTAAAATATTATTTCAATTCCAGATTTAGACTGATCCAGAGAGAGAGAGAGAGAGAGTTTTTATTTTCTTGATGAAGTTCATGCAAAATCATTAGTTTCTTCTACTAATGAAGACGATGATGAGAATTCAGAGAATCATATCTTCTTTTAAGAAAGCCATGCAACATACAATAATCTCTTGAAAAACAAAAAGACAAATGGATGAATAAATTGAAACTAAAGCACCACAAATGGCTACATTCATTGCTATAATAATAATTTTTATGGGAATTCAAAAACCTAACAAAATATCCTAAATTGGGTATTCCCCAAAGTGATGAACATTGGTTAATTTTAAACCATATTTCTCACCTCGAGAAAACCCTACCTAGCACCCAAAACAAATATTTAATATCAAGAAAATGCATATATTTTACGACTTGATCTTCTTTCTCTCTTCCTTGCCTGCAATACCTGCAAATATATATTAAATGAACCCAGTTTAGTATTTATCAATAATAAAAGGTATATTTGAAAAAAAATCTAAATATATAATTAAGTTTTTTTATTTTTTATTTTTATTTTTATAGCGAAGCTTACACGTAATTCAATTAATCCCACAGGACCTTGAAAACGGACAGACAAATCCCGTCAATGGCCACCGTTACCTTAGTCCCTGGGAGTACTTGAATTCTGGAACATATGTTGGACCCCTTTACTCTTTTACCATCGAATCACCCCGTGGTGGTTATGTATAATTAAGTTAATGAAATTGAAAACAAATTAAATTACGTACCCAGAAATGAAGTATTAAGTCTAGTATGAGATTCTGCTTCCAAGGTCCCTCGGAGCATTGCATCTAAAACACTCCATTCTGCTCGCAAAGTTGTGTTCGTTGCATCCAGACCTGCAAAATACATATATAATTCGCTTCATGCACCGTACAAGATTTTTTTTTTTTTTTTTTTTTTTTCCGACGTTGTATTAAAATCGCAGTAAGCCTGGATATCCTTTGAGATTGGGAGATTCTTGAATTAAAGAATGTAGCTCACTTGCAAAAGCAGTCAAAGGAGGAGGATTATAGACCAAAATTATTATATTAATATGGTTGATTACAGCCTTTTTAAAGTATCGTATCTAGCCAAAACCCAAGAAAAAAAGTTATTTTGGTTCTCAGGAATATCTAGGTTTTATAACATATATATATTTTTTTAATGCAACATAAATTTCACCTGGTGCAAATCCAATCTCCTGATTTCCATCCAGATCGATTGCCACCAAATCCTGAACCTCTGGAGCGTGGAATGTCACTATCAAAGCCGCCGCCACCACCAATGTCATCCTTGAAAGCGCCACATTTGAAGCAGCTAGAGCGGCTGGCAAAGTTATGCGCCCCACAGTTCCCGGCAGAGCAGTACCAGTCGCCTGGCCGGACGTCGGACCCGGTACTGAACCCGAATGACGATCCAACTCTCCCGCCGAAACCGCCAAAGTCACCGGACCTAGAGTCCCCGCAACGTTGGCACGAGTCACGCCTCTGAAAGTTCAAGTGCTGGCATGACCTACAGTTCCAATCTCCTGGTCTGCTCATCGTTTTTTTTTCTGCAAACAAAATGCACAAACAATTAAGCAATAAAACATTGGAACTAAAATGCATGAAGATTAGAGAAGTGAAAGATGTAATTGAAAAAACAAACCTGAAAAAAATGGAGGCGATCTCTGAGTTGAAAGATGAATGGGGAGGTGAAGAAGAAGAAGAAGAAGAAGGGATCGAGACTGATTGGTTTGGATGAAGCTGAAGAAAATGAAGGAAGAGAGGAGGGGTTAAATACATGGAGAGGGGAAAGAAAAAGGGAATAAATGGAGGGCCGTGTAAAAACTTTTTCGTGTTCTTCACCTGGCAACCTTGATAAATGGAATCGAAAAAATCTAAAGGAGAATGAAAAAGAGATAAAGGAAAATTCCACTACGATTCCAGAGACACAGAGAGAGACCGAAATTTTTGAAATTACGAACCTATACCACCTTCCTTTACTGTTTTTAATTATAACCCACAAATTAATGCATGCTTATATAAACTTTCTCATGGATAAATAAATAAATTTTGATTTAATAATCATGTAAATCACAAGAAGTAACACTTTCTGCATACACACCCACTTACTTGATTTGCAATCAAAATAAAATTCTTTCTTCTTAGAATGAATTAAGAGTGCATGTTTGAATACTGAAATGTCTCAAAAAATAGATCTCTAATATAATTCTAATACCAAGTTGCTTATAATTTTTTATATGATATAATATTAAGAATCCTCTTAATTAAAGTGGCCGTTATAGCTTATATTAAGGGAAACCATCCGCTTTTCATGCAACTGTTATATTTTTGTTCACCGGGAGTGTCTGGATCAGTTTATGTGTACCTTAACTAATTTTTTGAGACTCTGGAAGAGTCAACTAGATAAGAGTTCTAGTGATCACCCTTATTAGTGCCAGGGAGAACTTGAACTTAAGAACTCATAGAACATCTTTTGCCCTTTTACCATTAGATCACCCAGTGGTAGTTCAATTATATTATATGTGCTCAAATTTTCGTCTTATAAAGATCTTCATTAATGCCCTTTTGATCTAGGAACACTTCTTAACATAATTTAACATTAATTAGATCGCAAAATCCTGAATTACATCCTAAGATTCTAAAGTTTATTCCAGCTGTGAATCAAATGCACACCGAAAATCTTGTAAATTAAGATGTTCCTTTTAATTTCTCCAAGCAATTCTCTATGGCTTCCATTTTCTATTTCTTTAATTTTTTTTCTTATTTTATTATTATTATTATTATTATTTTTTGTTAATGTCTTCCCTCTGTGGAATATATATTTAGCAAAGAATCTAACCCATGAAAATCTAAGCAGCAGCCCAACAATTAAGGATCCCACATAAAGCAAACAGGAGATATTGCTAACCTATAAGCACAACAGCCATAATCCATAAATCAATCTATCGATTATCAATTGAAGCATGAACTTATAAAGGCCCTTTGACCATGGAAAATTATGACCCCACCTTGATCAACAATATGGTCGATTCCAACCCCACTAACAAAATTAATTAAAAAAAAAAAAGCAACAGCAGAATTGTTTCAATGAAGAATTAATGAACAAGGAAGAAGAAACCTAGGTGTCTTCATTTTAATGGAGCATGAGGAATAACCCATGTAATGAATATTCTAAATATGAAAGTCTAAGCAGGGCCACATCTAAACTCAATTATTTTGGTCAAGTCTCTTTCAATTACTTTGAGAATCAACATAATATTTCAGTCAATATATTGGTTAAATTGTTGCTGCTTTACAAGTTTGAATATTCCTGGCTTTATTCCATCGCACTTCATGATCTTCAATGGAATAATAAGATTGAATGCTACATATATTTTTGCTTTGCAATAACACAGAAATGACCAAATGCCTTTTTCTCAATATAGAAACCACATAAATTTTAAAAAAGAAAATGTAATGGGCAGAGGCAGAGGCAGCGGCAGCTTTGAGATGAAATAAATTATGGGATTTTGTTGAACTTCAAAATTATGAAGAAAAAAAATGGAGAAGAAGAAGGAAAGGAAAGACAAATGGTGAGTTTCAATAAAGAGAGTTGAAGGGTGATGATGGAATAACAAGTCTTCGAGGTTTCATTTTGACCAATCTTTTCTTTTTTTTTTACCTTTTCTGCGGCTGCCATTTCAATTCTCTCTCTTTAATTCTCTGTCCCTCCCTTTTTCTCTGTCTATCTCTTTATTAATTACATATAATAAATAAATAAATAAGGCATAAATGAAAGAAGATAAATATTAAGATCTGGCCTCCATTCTCTTGGAGAATGGTAAAGGGAGAGAGGCAAACTGTAAAGAGAGAAGAGCAAATTAAAGGAAAGTGGGCTGATTCGATTCTCCTCGGAAATCACTCCCATCCCATGCATGACCACGACCAACTCCATATTATTCTACCCTTTATTTTTCCATACCAATCTCTTACTTCTCCTTTGTATCATTTCGTCTCTGCTTCTGCATGTGTATTTTGGTCACAAAAGAAACTTTCACTTTATTTCTTTGCTTCAATTAATTTCTTCTTCGTTTTCTTAACCTCCAAGTTTACGATAATTGTTATGGTTGAATGCCCTAATTTGCATATTGCAAAACATTTAATAATAATATTTACTAACTACTTGAATTCATTATTAATGTTAGAGTGAACGACATGTTCCCACCTAAAGATTAGCGAATTGACAAGTTTTCACCCCTGGTTTCATTTTTTCGGGGATTCTCACCCTTAAATTAACAAAAATTGTTTAATGTAACGGTTAAAGGATAAAATAGTCATTCCAAAACCCCTTAATTGCCAACCCATTACACTACCGGCATCGCCATTGGTTGTTCAGTAGGCTCCTTGTTGATTCAGACCAGCAAAATTGACAAGACTCAACTCATTCGAAGGTTTTTTGTGCTTTTTCTAGCCGGATTTGCACCGTGTTCCTTTGATCCATCTTCACCCATTCGATTGTTGTTTCTAGCCTGATTTGGCCAGATTCCAACACCACCAAAGCCCTTAAACACTTCCATCTGAATCCTCACATCAGCCTCACCAAAACCCCTCTCTTTTCCACCCCTGTGCACCCTCAAATCACTGGTTGACAGCCTCTGCACTCTTGCACAAACTGACTATTTCTTGGCCAATTTTTCGATCGTTTCGAACACCTGAAATTCCCCTTATCGCCACCATTTGAACCTCCAACCTCGCCCCTTCTAAACCTCAATCTCCTTTGAACCCCTTACTCGCCATTTGTTGCCCGTGACCTCCCTCTTTCGCCGCAAGTTAGTCGTGTTTTCCAACCCCAACCTACTCACCCACCGGCGCTTACCATCTATTTGTAAAAAAGCCACAACCAATGGTGGCTGGGTGGCGCCATGGCGACAACGATTGGGTGCTTGGAGATGAGAAGAGAGAGATGAAGAAGAAGAAGATGGGAGGGCAGTTTAGTAGTAGCACCCTCTGCATCTGTGTCAAAACTCCACAATCACTAACGGTATTACTTTAAGGGAGGGAATCTAGAATAAATAAAATCAGGGGTAGAAATTAATTCCTAGGACTTTAAACTATTAATTCCTAGGACTTTAAATTAACGACATGTCATTTCGCTAATCTTTGGGTGGAAACATGTCGTTTGCTCTTAATATTAAATTAATTCCTAGGACTTTAAACTATTTAGGTATGGGTACTATTATATTTCAAGTCTTCTATTTCATAACAGACGTTAATTAAGTAATTAAAATACATCCTTTTAGTTTTAGATTTATTTCAAGAAATTCCAAATTCTTTCTATATATATAATGGAAATTTCAATCAAATCAATGGTATTTTTCAATAATATTTAAGATGAGGGTAAATTTTTTAAATAAGTATCAAAGTTCTTGAAAAAATATTAGAGGGGCAATTAATACATATAATTTATATATACTCGAGCCTAAGCAAGCTTGCGAGCCTGAAAGCTCGAAAGCTTGTTAGAGCTCGCAAATTTCCTGTGGCTCGTGAGCTTTTGAGTCGAGTACTAACAGGTTCTGCACTCGGCTCGAACATTACTCGAACTGTTCGAGCTTGAGTTCAGCTCGAGACATGTCGAGCCAAACATGAACTTTAGCCAAGTCGAGCCGGAATTGTTCGCGAACAACTCGGTTCGGTTGCAGCCCTAGGCTTGACCATTGAAACATAAAGCAATGGATAGAGTGTATTAACGCAAAATAAAAACTTTGAAAGCACATTCTCTCTTTGATCCTCACTCTAGCTCGTTTGAAGTCATCGCACTCACCCCATTGTCATTACGATACTAGTTTTTAGTCTTCTTATTGTTTATTTATTATTGTTTATTTGCTGTTTGATATTAATTATTTTCGCTTCTTTTTTTTTTTTCAACTTAGAATTTTTGGAAAAAAAAAAAAAAAACAAATGGGATGTAGATTCAAATTTGGTATTTTAGGTAGTTTTATTTTTAAATAAGTTTGCATTTAAAAAAAAAATGTTAAAAGATGGGCTTCTTTACTTCATTTACTGGAACACAAATAGCTCTACTCTCTAAGAGCATCTCCAATGGTGCTTTTTATTTTGAAAAACATATTTCATATAAATAAAGAACATCTTCATTAATTTTTAAATATAAATAACACAATTTTTATTCAAATCCAATAGACTCTTTAAATTTAATGAAGATGCTCTTTATTTTTAAGAAAGAGACTTAATGGGAGAGAGAATTAATAAATAAAATGCATAGAAACTTGTAGTTTATTAATTAAAATTAGGATAGAGAGTGAAATTTGACTCTCTAAATGTGGAGAGCCAACTCACTTTTTAATTTATATTTTAAAGATAAAAAGTCTGTTGAACTTTTATTTTTATAGATAGACTCTTTATAATAAAAGAGTTTGAGTCATATAAAGAGCCATCTGGAGATTTTCTAAGAAAACTTCAATAGAGCTACTACCCAAACTTTAATGAGCCTATTAATTGTTCAAACGGTTGGCTCATTCATTCTTATCCATATTTTGTCAAGCTAAAGTTGCATTTTTTTTTTTAATCTATATTTTGAACTAATCGAAAGTGTACAAAATTAATAACTTCATCTATATACATAATCATAATCATATGATCCTCCTTTATATATGATTCAATTGTTAGAATATATTTATATATTCTTATATGTTATATAATAGGGGTATTGGTTTAATAATAATAAAGTGTCAAGGGTAATATGATCTTTTGAGGGAGACACCTTGATGGAAGGTGTATTGCAATTAAATTTTGTGATTAGAAACTAGTCCTCTCTCTATTCTATTCTATATACACCATAGTTTACAATTTTCTATTCCATCGAGAATCACTATCCTCATTGAAGGAATTAAGGAAGAGAAACATCATTTCAAGGAGATTCAAGTGAAAGTCAAGACAAGTTCAAGAATATTCATGGATAAAGGTATGTATTAATTATCCTTACATTATTATTGTGAAAATCATTAAGTTTAAGTTCCTGTATTTATGTTTATGGACAATTAAGATATAGAATGAATTGATTTGTTGATGTGAATGTAAGAGTATGCAATTGATTGATATGAATATGTAATTTACTGTTTATATATTGCATAATTAAAGTTACAATATCAAATTAGGGTTCATAATCAAAATTTAGGGTTTCTACACTTTTGATTTGATTCTATGCAATTAAGATGTGCTTTATGGTTCAATTAAGTTTATACCAATTACATTTTTCGTCAACTATTATCATAATTAATGCATTATTTTTCCTTCTTATATTAGCGTTTATAGAAAAATTTAGAACAATGTATTATATCAAATTATACTATTGATCCGTATGCTTATGTGATCTATGAATTTTTTTTTTCTTATTTATCTTTATAATAAATATGATTGATAATTATTAAATTAATTGATATAGGTGATTATTATTTATATGTAATGCATATCTTGGTTTGTAGAATGATTGGTGCAAAATCTTTGTGATAACCAAGGGTAACACTAGAAAATAATTTTTGTGAAGACTATATATACGTTCATATTAATATATAAAAAAAAAAAAATTGAAATTATTCACATCCTAACTTATATTACTTGATTACCACGTTTGGTTATCAAATAATATAAGATTTCGATAATCTTCCAAACCCAATAATAGTTACTATTGGTACGTAATTTAGGAGTTAATCTGATTACTTCCATTTTCTTAGGTATTTTAAGATTACTTAGTAATCTTATTTTTATTACAATTTTACCCCTTATTAATAAAATTTTTGGACAATAATGCCATTGTTTTAAAAACAATTTACATTAATCTGCCATTACAATTTTACCCTTATTTAATTAAGTTTTTTTTTTTAATAACAATAATGCCCTTATATTTAAAAAAAATTCCAGACCACCATCGCCCTTAGCCACCACCAGCAGTAGCTAGCCAACCACCGCCAGTTGTTGTCGGAAGTTGTTGGGAGTTGCTGGGACTTGCAAGTTGTCGATATGGCTGTTTTCAGCCATATTGATGGCCAAAAACAGCCATATCGACGACTTCCGATGATTTCCAGCAACTTTCGACAGTCGACAATGGCTTGGGGTGGGTAGGGGTGATTTTGTTACAAATTAAAATTTTATATAAGCTGAGGTGTTTTAGTTAAATCTAAAATATTGGGGGTTAAAAAAAAAATTCAAAATTTAATAATAAAAATAATATTATATTAATATTTAAAAATGAGGGTAATTTAGTAATTTATATAATATACTCACCAATTTATTTCTCCCAACCAAATATATTAATATAACATACCCACTAATTTATTTCAACTAACCAAACATATTTTTTTAAAAATTCTCAATAATCTTCAAGGTAATCTAACTTTTCTTTAATATAACATACTCTAGACCAAATGCTCTTTTATTGCCATACTCAACATAAAAAAGGTCCATTCTTGGTCACTGTGAAGCGTGAATAGCTTGGTACGGTTTATATGAATTTGTTGTTGCGAAATTTAAAGTGTTGACAAGGAATGTTTGCCGCCACCTTACCTATAAATCCATCACTAATAATTTATTATATCATTCGATGTGGCAAAACATCGAACACTTAGCCTTCACTGCATGTGTTAGCATTCCCATGCTGCCACAACGCACCTTTTTGTACCATTTGCTAGTTTGCCATCGCTCTCTTGCGCATCTTTTTGTACATATTATCTGTCTCTAACCCATTTGCAGAGGCCGAGAGAGCTCGTTTTCAATGTGATATCGAAATGAGTTTTGTTTCTTTTAATTAAATTTTCTTTTCGCTTTTACTTTTTTTTGTATGCCTAGCCATCGACATCTTAAATGTAACCACCAACCTCTTGCTATAATATTTAATCACAAAATTATGTTGAGAGAAAGTTTACAGTATAACTGTGTTAGGTAGTCACATTTTCCCGATATTTTCATTAATTCTGCTGATATTTTCATTAATTCTACTTTTATTTCATACATATGCTACACAAATACGCCTTCTATTGTTTGACAACAATCCCTTTATCGTGCTGTTATGTGGTAAATCTATACAATACGGATTCACGTCATGTGGCCCAAGGCCGTACTGTAATCCAGGTCGCGTGTCACTCTATGAGAGGGTTGCTTTATTTGTAAATTTATTAAGGATTATTTTATTTATAAGTCTTAAGGTTGTGTTATCAATTAGGTTGTATGTCACTTTAAGTAAAGATTACTTCATGTATAAGTTTACCAATATAACAGTATATAAACTGATCTCTCACCTTAATGGGGGGATCTTTGGACCATTTTTTCCTACTATTTAAAACCGTCTCATCTATGCTAAGAGCTAAGCTCGTTTGTACGTGAAAAACACACAAAAAAAGTATTAAAATAATAGTGGACTTAGAATTTGCGCCTTGAATCTAAACCACTTTAAAAACTTTTTATTCTTTGCGCTTGCTTACTATCTTTGCATTAATCCAGCATTAAAATACCGGTTTAATACAAACCCTTGCATAGATTTCATCAAGAAATTTATGTACTTCTAGTTGGTGTAAAACACTTGGTACACTTTTATTGTAGAATCTTTACAAGTAATTATACATAGTACTAAAGCAACATTGAAATTAACACATATATATAAGAACATTGATTTGATTCAATTCTGTAGCTAGAAACTTCAAATCTAATTGACTTCTAATCCAAGCTTACATGAAAGCTGACACCAAATTCTTCATAATTTGTGACCTTTACATTCTCTTATTGAAGACGAAATTTCTTGAGGATTGATTATCCCAATATGAGCAAACTAAGCTCATCTTTGAACTCAATTTATGGTGAAGTTAAAAGCAATCAACATGAAGATCAGGGACCTTTGTAGTATCTTTGTTGATTAGCTTTTGTTTAAATTCAGGGATCTCTCGAGGCTTAACTGATCGAATCAAAGCCCAATTTACACCTCGAAAGAACTCATGATTCTTGATTTCAAGAGCACCCCACAAACTGCCCATTCTCTTCTTGGGATTCTTCATCAAAAGCTTTCTTATAAGGTCATGTGCCTTCTCCATTTCTCGACGATCACATTGGTTAAGGTTACTTGAACTAGTCCTGCAGGGAAACCTCAGTGGCTTCTCCAGGATGTTCTTGAGCGTTTTCTCATTGTTTTCACCTTGGAAAGGAGTATTTCCATGCAAGAGTTCGTACAAAAACACCCCAAATGTCCACCAATCTACTGCACTTCCATGGCCAAGTCCCAAGATCACCTCCGGCGCCAAGTATTCGTGAGTTCCAACGAACGAACTCGAACAAGCATTAACTGGTTCAGCCCAGAATTGTGTATCATTCTGAAAAGGAATATGAGCTTGTCGTGTTGCTTTGCAACTACTTGAATTTTTCTTCTTCTTTTTGTTGTGCTTGTTGGAGACTGAGAAACAAGAGCAGTAGCACTTCATGGTTTTGTCCATGGTTTGGATTTTAGAATTAAGCTGCAAAATCTTTGGGGAAACTTCACATTTGAGAGAGAGGTCAAAATCGGAAAGCATGATATGCCCATCTTCTTGAATAAGCACATTTTCTGGTTTAAGATCACGATAAATTATCCCCATTGCATGAAGATATTCAAGTGCTAAGAGGACCTCGGCTGCATAAAATCTGTTGCATTAAAGATTAGCTTTGAAACTTAACCTTAAAACATGCACTTTGCTTATTGAATTAAGTGGTTCAGATTTCACATAAAATTTCCATGAAACCGCACTTCAAGGTTCATGAGATACAAACTTGTAAAGCGAGATATAATCAGTGAGAACTGATTTTCAACAAAGTACTGAAAGATATTCCGCTTTAGAAGCAAAAAGAATTTGTCAAAATATATATATAGAGAAACAAGGACTTACTTTGCAGATGCTACACTTAATCTTTGTCGTGGCTGTTTCTGCAAAACGGTGAGCAAGTCACCTTCAGGGCAATATTCCATGACTAAACAAGAGTAACGAGAAGCGTCAAACTCCGCATAGAGTGTGGGAAGAAAAGGATGATCAAGCATTCTTAGTATCTTCTTCTCCATCTCTACTCTATGTTTCTTGTTCATGACACTTGAAGCCTCTCTATCCACCACCTTCATGGCGTACAATCGATGAGGAAGCTGAAGCTCCACGGCAGGCTGCTGCTTAACCTTGCAAACATAGACATTAGCGATATTTCCACTGCCTACAAGGTGCAGAAGCTGAAAATGGTGAAGACCAACTTGACCATGTTGCTGTTGGAGGCGCTTCATGGCCAGCCAAGCCGGCTGGTTTGCTTTGTGAGGCTTGTGATTGTGACTATGGGAATTGGTGTGTGGGAGTGAAGTGAACATTTTTGAAAGAGTTTGGAGATCTTGTAGTAGCTACACTTTATTTTGATCCTACTTATAAACAATGAGAGTTCGATAACTTTTAAGAAGCAATAAAATTTCATTTTGTATTGTCGGTCTAGAACCACAAATATCTTTGTAAAAGACTTATACTAAGGGCATATTAAAGTCTTATAATGTCTAATGACATATGAACATACGTCATTAGGGCACTTGGTAGGGTCTTTGGTGGGAGATAATCTCCTATTATTAAGGTAATGTCACTTTATATTATTTGATTATCATGTTTGATTATCAAGTAATATAAGATTTCGGTAATCTTCCAAAAACAATAGTAATTGGTTGTATAGGAGATAATCTAATTACTTCAATTTTCTTAAATATTTTAATATTATTTAGTAATCTTAATTTTGTTACAATTTTATCCCTTATTAATAAAAGTTTAGGACGATAATACCCTTGTTATCTAAACAATTTACAATAAATTTATGCACAATTTTAGCCTTATACTTAAAAATTTTAAGACAAAATTACCCTTGTACTTCAACTAAATTACCCAAGATCACAACCACCTCCAACCACCTAAGAGGATTGCTGACTACCAGCCACCATCAGAATGACACACGGCTGACCGACCGTGTGCCAATAAGGTCGGATCCATGGTCAAAAATGGTCAGATTTGGCCATTTCACGACCACATATGTGGCCTTTTCATGGCCAAATCTGCCCGTTTCCGGCCATGAATCACTAATCCATGGCCAGAAATGGTCTTAACGACGCACGAACGGCCAAATATGATCGATCGTGCACCGTTCAAGTGACTGTCGGTGACAGTCGACAATGGTGGCCGACAACCAACAGTTTTGAGAAGGTGGCTGGGGTATTTTTGTTAAGTTTTAAACTTTTTTAGTTGCTGGGGTGTTTTAGCTAAATCTGAATGTAGGGGGTTAAAAAAATCATTCAAAAAATAATAAGAAAAAAAATATTATATTAATATTTAAAAAGAATGACAATTTAGTAATTTATATAACAAACCCACCAGTTTATTTCTCCAACCAAATATATTAACATAACATAATTAGAGGTGGGCAGGGACCGGTCCCAAGCAGGCCCAGGCCTAGGCCCGTTTGGGACTGGTCCCAAATAGGACCAGTCACTCATGAGCCTGGGACCGGTCCCAGGCCCATGAGAAAAATTAGGACCCGGACTAGGCCCTAGGCCTGGTAGGGACTGGTCCTATAGACCCAGGACCGGTCCTAGGACCAGTCCCATGGGGCTTGGATAATTAATTTTTCCCCCCTCAATTTTTTTTATATTTTGGGGGCAAAATAAAATTTTATGGGGGGTTTTTAGTATTTTTTAGGGGTAAAATTTATAAATTTTTTAGACCTGGAAGATTTTTTTTTAATATAAATTTTATAAAATGTCATTTTAGCCCTCTTAATTTATATTTATTTTCAAATTAATATGGGTTTTTATGTAATTTGACAAGGGACTATATTGAAATAATACAAATTTTTTTGGGCCCGGGCCCTCCTCCTTAGGCCTAGTCCTATTTTGGGACCAGGCCTCCTAGGTCCGGGTTCTCGAGCTGGGTTTTTGGGCCTGGTCCCGAATGCCCAGCTCTAAACATAATTAACAATTTATTCAAACCAACGAAACACATTTCCCTAAAAATTCCTAGCAATCTTCAAAATAATATATTTTTCCATTAATATAACATTTCCAGTAATACAACATTCTCTAAACTCAATACACCCTTAAAACATTTCTTTTTTAAATTAGGATCATAAAATTAGTAGTTCATTTCATTAGTACAAACTGTTTTCAGAAGTAGTTAATTATAAATAAATAAACTCTTTTGTTTATAATAAACTCATTTTTAAAATCATTACATGGATGAACAAACTCAAGATTTAATGTTAGAGGGTAAGAAATATTCCATTTGTCTTTTTAAAATTTTTGTTCTTTTCTTAACCACCACCTGAACCATCGACCTCCATTCTACAAAATCCCTCTAACCCTAGCACTTGGTAGCCCCTCGCTCATCGGTCTGATTCGCATATATTGTTACGATTTGGTTGATTTCTCTGGCCAAATTTCGACGTCCAAAATTCAATACGAAACAACCACTTAAACCACCGACCTCCATCTGTAAAACCCCTCTAACACTACCACTTGGTAGCCCCCCATTTATCGGTCGTGATTCGTGTCTACTGTCACGATTGAGTTGATTTTTCTTACGAAATTTCGACTGATTTCGATGTCCAAAATCCAATCCAATCCAACACCACCACCTGAACCACCAACCTCCACTCTATAAAACTCAATAACCCCAACACTTGATAGCCTCTCGTTTGTCAACCGTGACTCGCATATACCGACGTGATTGGATTAATTTTTTCAGTCAAATTCTAGCTGATTTCGGCATCCAAAATTCAATCCAACACCACCCCTTGAACAATTGGCCACCACTCTACAAAACCTCTTTAATCCTGGCACTTGCTAGTCTCTCATTCGCTGGCGGTCAGGTTAACCTAGCTTGGAGAAAGCCCCAGGTCTCGGTCTAACTGATTAAAGTGGTCGGGTCGAGTTGGATTTCAAAATAGTGCTAATGAATACAAAATTGATCATATCATATCAATTTATTGAAAAGTATATATTTTTGTAATTTTTTAAAATAAAATATATCAAAATAAACAAAAAATTTGTTGGTTAAACTCTAGATATATTAATGCAACTTAGTGTTTTATAATTTATTTTAACTTTGATACCTTATTTTATTTATAGACCTTTACGTTGGGGTGGGGCTAGTTACACCCAATGATTTGAACTTCACTCTCCAAAATGTGTTCATAATCATCTAAACAGGTTTAAAAACCTGGCCTGGCATGGCTGGTTAAATCGGTCTAACCAGGACCCAAGGCCTTGGCCAAGTCGGGTTCCTAATTTCAATCGTTCACAACTTATCAAAGCAAACCTTAGATTTATAGATGGCAACCAGCAAGCAATTAGTGGTTGGGATGTTAGAGATTATGAAAAGGAAGGGTCGGTGAGTCAAAAGATGGCAACGTAGATGATTTTCGATAAGTGAAACGACTGAAAATCACAAAAATCACATGGTGACAACAACCCAGTGTTGTCAACAATTGACAAGACAAACATAGATGGGGTGAGATTGGTTTTGATTAGGAGGCTGAAGAGAGTATTTTCGTGGTAATGGGGAGTGTTGTCGACGCTGGAAACATATCTTATTTGGCCCTAGGTTGTCAACACCAATGATTGCATTTGAAGTGTGTTTGCTGATTTAAACCTATAGGGACTGATATATAATTTTTAAGAGTGTTTTTGCTAGATTTCAAATCTTTAAACATGTACATATCACCAGTTTGACCCACCGGTCAAACCGGTTCAACCCAAGACCCGACCACTTTGTTAGGTTTCACCCCAAACTGGGTTTTAAAACCCTACATCTATGTCCAACTATTATTAAAAATTTTAAATTCTAATTTAGTCCATAAATATAATAACTCCAATACAAGATCATTTTAGTAATACTTGATTAGTTGATTGAATGGAAAACATAACGAAAACAGAAAGAAAAAAGAAAAAGGTTAATAATCTATGACAAAATTTAAAATTATATTAGTGGGTATATAATTTGGCTGTGATTCTTCTACGGCGAACACAATTAAAGCCTGCAAATTTTCTCCTCGCCTTATCCGTTATCAGAATTACGTAATCTATGCATGTGCATTTCTTTGTAAACTAAAGATTCCCAACAACAAACTAAGAACAGAAATTGCAGCAATCAATAAATCAAGCTAAAAACCCAATCTTCATTTCTTTTTTGCCCTTTCCTTTTCGGGCTAAAGGATACACACTACTTCACCAAAATACAAGATACAAAAGTGCAAGTAATTACCTCCAGGGATGAAAAGAAATGGAAAATATGTTCATACCAAGGAAAACTATCGACTAATATCAAAAAATCATACTCCATAAACTCCAACGGAACTGCCAAGTCCAGAAGAAACATGGTACGGTACAAAACCAAGGAGGCAATATATACAATCACATTCATTTTCAGGGAACAAGTCCCACTTACCAATTCCTCTTGGAGAATTATTCAGATTGATCATCGCGGTGATCAAGAAATATATCACTTGCTACACTGCCTTCAGAACTTGTATCACCATGGATATCACGAAAGTCACAAAAGCTCTTCCAATAGACCAACAAAAGCCCTTCCAATAGACCAACAAAAGCCAAAACTGAGAAAAAAGGATGGGGCTTAAGAGCAGAGCCAGCCTCAATTATTTAGTAATCAAAATCATCCAAATCAGTATTCTGGGTGGAAAAGCATCTCCAAGACTAACATTGGTAAAACTATATGCTCAAATTTCATATACATGTAGGTTTTTTCTCCCAGAAACATGGAGAGATAAAACGAAAAAAAGTCTTTTAATCATTTGAATTAATAATCATTTTGTTTGAGCATTTATCTACGATAAATAGAAAACAACATGAAACTTACATATCATACCATCTCAAGAAGCGATTATATATATATATATATATGAAAAAAACTAAAAACAAAAATGATGGCCATAGTTAACACTTACTGATGCAGTGTCAAGAAACTTGGTTTTTGTTTCTACTAGGAACCCCCTTTTCTGCTGCGGCTACCAGGACTAGATACGGTCCTCAAATTAGCTGAGCTATGCAAGTCCCTGTGACCAACCAAAGCACTTCCCCTGAGACCATGAGATGGAGGATGACGGGGAGATGAACTAGACTCACCCCCCTTAGAGGCATCAGTCTCTAACATCTTTGCTTCATCCGTCAGCATTGCCAACTGTTTTATAAAAACCAGATCAGTTCCTGAACATAATATAGGCAAGAAGAAATTAATTATCCAGTAGAAAAGAGGTAAAATATATGACATTAATTTCTATAGCTACAAGGGACGCATCAAATGGAACCCCCAAAATGTTAGGTCCTTGATAATATCATGGAAACCAAATGGAGCATATGCCAATATGACAATGCATTGATGAAGTTGGTTCCATAGAAAAGGTCAATCTAAAAATTTAATATCATTTCCATCCAAGTTCTCTGAAAAAGTTTGTAAACAATAAACCATTGCTGCTGTCTACCAAATACATATAACAAACTTCATTCTATACCCGAATTTCATTCTCGCTCAATTGATCTTGTAGTGCATTTATGGCAGGACTTAAACTGTAAAAAATGATTTAAAATAATGGGTGAGAACAAACAAAAAGTGGAGCATATATAATCGAACAAGATATAGGTGTTTGTTTCGAACCAATATTCAATTAATTTGCACATTGAAGCCTGATATGTAGATGTGTGATGAATGTAAGTAAGGGGATGCACTTTTCCATCCCTGAGTAAAATTGAAAAAAATAAAAATAGACGTTAAACAGTGAACAGAGATATAACACAAGCAAATGATAAAAAATTGACACATGTATTCGACAAACACCTCATATTTTGCAATATAGCTTGGTTATATGCTGCCCGTTCCTCTTGATATAGTACATGTTGCAAATCCGTAAAAGATGTTAGAGGCGAATCAAGTTTCAGAAGAGATGAGGTCGGCAAAACATGAAGAGGGATTTCTTTCCTGACATACTCCGCACCACTGTCAGCAAACAGAAGCTAATATGAGGATCTCAAGTAGATAGATGCATTTTGCCAACCTATCATCTTGTTTGCAATGATAACATATATGGGGGAGCATGATTTTAGAGTAGAACCAGAAGCAGCAGGTACCCGGGATTCCGGTTCCAGTTCCTACCCGATACTGGCCCTCATGAGGTCGGTTCCGATTCTCAAAAACCAGGACCGGTATTGTGCGGTTCCGGTTCCATCACTGCAGGAACGGGAACTGGAACCGATATCCAGGTACCTTGCTAGGAATCGGGACTGAACTGTAATTTTTTTGTAAACTATTGGGGGTGTATATGTTTTAGGTTCCAGTTCCTGGCTTCTGGGAACTGAAACCAGCCAATTCCGGTTCCGGTTCCAAATCCAAGAACCGGCTGGTTTCGGTTTCGGTTCCGGTTCCAGTTCCTTGGACTTTGGCGGGTACCCGGACCCGCTCAACATATATATACAGTTGAACTTCAAAACAAGAATAAGATATCATGTGATTAAGTACATACTCAGGTATACCTCATGTCCAAATTTGAACGGTGCATGGCCTCTTGCATACTTTCTGACATATCCATGGGATCTAAATCCGCAATGGTGTTACTTAAATCACCAGTTTGGTAGTTTCCTCCAACTCTCTCTCTCTCAAGATGGTTGGCATCAGCATTTGCAAAGAAACCACCCAAGTCTGAAGATCTTCCCACACCCTAGCCAATTACACATGCATGCATTGAATGAGAAGATAATAGAGTGAAAAGAGCCCATGATGTAAATACATAAACCTATCAGAAATGGTATTAAAAGACATTCAAGTTGATTGGTAGTTCTCTCTTTTGTAAAGATATATCCTGCAAAACCAATACTTGACATTTCAATTTTCAAATATAATAGTAATCCTGCTGAAGCTATTTTATAAAAATGATTATACCAAAGTGAGCAATTCATCATACACATAAATATTTAAAAATGGTGAAGCAGAAGAATTTATATCAATACTCTGATACTGACTGAAGATCTTAAAGATGAGTATACAATCAGACACTTTTATGACCACAAGTAAAGCATAATGATAAGCAGGAAAAATGTGTAATCCTATATCTCATGAACTATCATACTGTTTCTTTAACTTCCTACATGTCTTAGAACTCTACTGGTGGTATGATAATCAAGGAATAATGTGAAAATTATACCTTCCAAGATCCTGTTGCTGTGCTGGAATCACCGGTGTCTTGTTCAGGGCTCTCTGCCCTTGCACTTCCAGATCTCAGTAATAGATTTTCAGAGGAACTTAAAGATGAATCCAAATCAATAACTACATTTTTATTAACGGGTGATAAAGAAATTGGTCTTGATATGAGATTCTGCTTCCCATCCGAGGACTGAAATGCAATAACTTGGATTCTTCCAATCTGCAATTAGCCCATGTTTTGAGCTCAGCTGGGCCAACCAAAAAACAATATGCAAGACTACTTACAATTTAGAAAACATGAAACACATACCTTGTTTATATCTTCACTAAAACAAGAAAATATCAGCCCAATAAATCCAGAATCTAGAAGTTGATACATTGCTTGAGTCCGCACATCTGCAGAAGGAAGCGAATAGAACTTTTAATGTCACATCCAACTATCATAGTAGCCATGGCCATGAAAATAGCAATTCCACCCTAGTCTCCAAGCATTTGGAAATACTTAACAATTGAAAGTATTCTAACAAATTTCCAATTTTATTCAGTTTTGAGCACAGGTTGATAGCATATAAGCAGGTATAACTGGAGAACCATAAATCTTATACTCACTGACCACAGCAATCACTCTTTTATGATGGTATTGCAAGTATAAGCCAACCAAATTACATTAAGTTCGTTGGTTTTTTTTTTTTTTTTTTTTTTTTCATACTTTTTCTCTATCTGAAAGTAACAGGACATTTTAAGTATTGGTTGTTAGACCTCAAATATTATTGCTGGATGCTTATCTATAAGCTTAAACATTTGGGTTTAGTGATGGCTCAACACAGTATCAAAATCAAGTGGACTGGGAGGTATTGTGTTTGAATCTCCCTACTGCATTCATTAATCATATCAAGTTATGTTTGCTTTCATTGTCGTTGTTATGTTGCTTTTGATAGGGGGCATGTTAGAGCTTAAAAACTATTGTTAGGTCATTTACCTATAAGCACTGAAAGAAAGAAATCAACATAAAGATGTAGCTTACTTAATACTATCAAAACCTAGTTTGCATTTAGAACATAAAGTGGAAAGATGGTTTTTCTTATTAGTGGAATATTTTTTTTTCTTATAAAGAGAATCAACAGCATCTAACAAAGAGAGAGAGGAAAAAAGGAGCAATTCATCAATACTCACCAACATGAGAAGGAAGAACTGTAATATGCGGATGTGAATGGTACCACCCAATGACTCTTGTTGTTCTTCCAGTCAACATGGTCATTCTGTGCTATGGAGTCAATTAAAACAATAACAGAACATAAACTTTAACACTTAGCAGCTATATAACCATAAAAAGAAGAGGGGAGGGAGGGGAGAGTGGTAAGTCACAGCTTCTTTCTGACCTCTATGGCCAAACCAAAGAATAGTTTTCAGTTCACAACTTAACTATCCATGTGGTGAAAGCCTAGTGAGAATAGAAGCTAATTCTTCTTCATGAACTCTTAATAGAAAAGGTTGGCTTGTTATGTAAAGTATATTAACTATCCTTTAAAAGTTATTAATTATAAAAATTATGATGTCATTAGGGGGAAGAGTCAAATCTAGTTTCCATTGTCAACAACAAATTGCAGCAGAAAAAATTAGGGGTAAAGAATTTTCCGTAACAGGTAAAAAATCACATAAAAATTAAGGATATATCGGCCTGAGCTGAGGCAGCAGCCAACTGTTCAGGATTTGTCTCTACTCGATCCTTTCGCCGATCAGATCGTGACTGAGGTGACGCTCCCCAAATTAGTGCAGTGACATTACCATTTTTTGAGTACTGGAAATTGCAAATTTGAACCAAACCATCACTTACAAGAACATAAAGCCAAAAAGAAAATGCAAAAGAAGCCACCTCATAGTACAAGAAATGCAAAATCATAAGAATGCAACATTCTCATTTCCTGTAAAGTTAAAAGATTTAAAAAAAAAAAAAAAAAAAAATAAAAGCTGATTTAAAAGAGAATCAGCAAACCAGAAGTAGAACAAAAATATAGAGTTGATTTTTTTAATTGGCTACATTGAACACTCATAATCACCAATTTTGAGTCGGCATGGTATGACGAGAAGCATAAAATGCAAAAACAAAAGAACAAAGTAGCTACATAATAAGTTCCTTAGCAAAGAGCAGAACTTCATCAAAATTGCACGTTCTTCAAATAAAATTAATGTACTTTGCTTTGAAAAAAAAAAAAAGGCCTACTCATATACATGCTCAAGAAACTTATTATTCCAAGGATATGGATATGGGCCAACTTCGATCCACAAACTTTGTTTAATACAAAAACATTATGACGTACACTGGATTCAGCTAACCTTAAGATACAGTAGCACTCTTACTTATCCTTAAATTTAGGCCTTTCATGCGAAAAAAAATAAAAATAAAATGAGAATACATATCACTATGTGCATACAGAAAAAAAAGGGACTAGTTGAAATACCACTACTTACACAGAACCAGAAGAAGGTGACAAATTCTGCAAATAAGAATTCGTTTGGTTTCTCTCGAAAATAATTATCCACCTATCTCTAAATCAATTCAAGTCTATATCAAAAGTGAAGCCAAATCAGATTTATACTTAATATACAGAATCCAAATGGCACAAATTTTGTAAAAAAGGACCCAAATATTGACTAGAAATCCAAAACACACAAAGTTCAAACCATTTCAACACTACTTTAAATGAACGCTAACCAATAATAAAAAATAAAAACTGCATATGAACAAACATACAAAGTTTCGACTAGATTTCCAGAAACCCCAATACAAGGAACGGATAAAAACCCACAGAGTCCCGATAACTTCAACTGAATTTGCACTACAAAGCTCAAGACATTAATATAATACAAAAAGAAATAAACATATCAAAAGGGTATCAAACGTTAGCTAAAATTCGGAAATCCCAATTGAGATAACCACCCAAAACTAACCAAAAAAAATGTCGATTTTAACATAACACAAACACCTAAAAGTGGTAAAATTTACAAAATGAGAATCGATTTTTAGCCAAAAAAAAATAATCAAAAACCCAATTCAAGAATCCATCCAAAACACAATTTCAAGAATTTCAACTATATATCCACCAGAAATACAAAATGAAATACGAAAAAAAAAACCTAATAAATAGTAACAACTGATAGGTAAAAGAACCTCGATGTCACCAAGAAGAAGACCCATGATCTCTTCAGTTTCAGTGGACAATGCGTGAGTAAGACAAGTTAACCAAACATCCTCGGACATTTTAACTGCTGTTAGAGACATTCTCGAAGAGATTTCAAAATTGAGGTTGCGATAAGAGTTGGAGTGTGAGAGTTTCTATGGTTCTTGATTTGGTCGGTTTGGTGCTGGAAAAGCTTTGGTTTTGGTTGGGTTTGGGCGGCGGATCTCAAGAAACATAATTTTGCACGCAAGAGAATGATACACTACGGTCGGCTTCACGTTAAGGGAAGATTAATTATACGGTAAATCACATAATATTTATTAATTAAATTCCTTCTATTTTGCAATACACCATAATAATGACTTAATCCCACGTAGGCATAATAAAATCACAAAAATTCTCTTGATATTTCAGAAATATTAAAATAAAAATAAAAAAATAATTTGATAATATTAACTAATTCATAATAATATAAACTTTAACATGATTTATTAATGATAAAGTTTTGTTATTATAATACTTTCTGGGTCTATATTAACCTACACAAAATGATTTAATGTAAACAGTTATTTAAATGTGTTGTCATCCACTAAATCTAAGGAACCTCTAATGTTATCTAGGTGATATGACTGAAGTGGTGTCAAAACCACACTAGTTATAAAAAAAAATAAAAAAAAAAAATTACTTTTCTATAGTTAATACTATATTGATATCACATAACTTGTGATAAAAATCTGAGATTTCAACTTTATATTGGTCACAAAGATGTTGTCCTAAATTTGGAAGAGCAAGAAAATGACTTTAAGGGTGCATTTGGTTTGGAAATTTTGTATTACCGTGAATGTTACACTAATAAAAAGATAGATTATCTTTAAGATTATTATCAATGTTTAGAGAAATATTTTTAATTATGTTGGAATAAATTAGTAGGTATGTTATATTGGTAACTGAAATGTTTGGTCTACAGGAATAAATTAGTGAGTATATTATATAGATGACTAAAATTGCTCTCTTTTTTAATATTAATATAGTATTATTTTTTGAATTATTTTTTTTTACCCCATACATTTGAGATTTAGCTAAAACACCCCAGCTATATAAAAGTTTAATTTCTAACAAAATCACCCCCATCCACCTCAAGCCACTGCCGGCCACCGCCACCGCCACCTCCATCGATCACTATCAACAATTGTCGGAAAGGTGCACGATCGACTAGATCTAGCCAACTGTGTGCTGATCTAACCGAATCAATGACCATTAACGGTCATATTTGTGGCCGTTAGCAGCATTGGATATGGCGGTTAACGACTATATCTATTTTAGCGTCGTGCGGTATGGATCTGGCTGGTCAGATCCGGCCTGTCATACGCCTTTCCGACGACGTTTGCCTTTGGTGGCCAACGATCGATGGTGGTGGTCTTAGGTGACCTGCAATTTGTTTTAAGTATAAGGGGTAAAATTGTAATTGCAGATTTATGTAAATTAATTTCAAAATTAAGGCATTATTATCCAAAATAAAATTAATAGTTAAAGGTAAAATTGTAACAAAATTAAGATCATTAAGTAATCTTAAAATACCTAAGAAAATAGAGGTATTCAGATTATCACCTATATAAGCAATAATAATTACTATTGATTTTAAAGATTACCGAAATTTTATATTATTTAACAACTAAACATAGTAATTTAAGTACTTTAATATAAAATAACATTATCTCGATAATAAAGATAACCATCAACCAAACACCCCGTAATTGCATAGGATTTGTCTGATATAAATAAAAAGAAAGCAAAACATCAAAAAGTGCCCTAATTTTGGCAAGTTTGCAAGAATATTAATTTGAAACGTTTCTTTTCTCGTATTAGCAATTAACATTTACTAATTGAGCTGATTTGAGCATCGGAAGGAACACACTTGTAAACCATCTGCCTGAGACTATACTATACATAAAATATTTTCTTTACATATATATTACATACTAAAATAAATCAAATTACAAGAATAAATCTGAATTTTTTTGTGTAAATATTAAATTTATTACATATAAAATAAAAACCACAAAAATTTGCAGTGATGAATTAAAAAAATAGTATTTTATATAATTTATATTTTTAATATCACACTTTTTCCTTCTTTTGTTTTGGTTCAACCCACATTCCATGTCACATCAATAACTCCTGGCTTCCACTTGATTCCAACACTGCAAAAGAAGCATAAAATTGTTATCAAAGGGAAAGGAAGAGTTNTTATTATAATACTTTCTGGGTCTATATTAACCTACACAAAATGATTTAATGTAAACAGTTATTTAAATGTGTTGTCATCCACTAAATCTAAGGAACCTCTAATGTTATCTAGGTGATATGACTGAAGTGGTGTCAAAAGACTCAAAACCACACTAGTTATAAAAAAAATAAAATTACTTTTCTATAGTTAATACTATATTGATATCATGATAAAAATCTGAGATTTCAACTTTATATTGGTCACAAGGATGTTGTCCTAAATTTGAAAAGCCTAAGAAAATGACTTTAAGGGTGCATTTGGTTCGAAAATTTTGTATTACTGTAAATATTACGATAATGAAAAGATAGATTATCTTGAACATCACTATCAAAGTTTAGGAAAATATGTTTGGTTATGTTGGAATAAATCAGTAGGTATGTTATATTGGTAACTGATATGTTTGGTTGGAAGAAATAAATTTGTGGGTACATTATATAGATTACTAAAATTATCCTCCTTTATAAATATTAATATAATATTATTTTTTGAATCGTTTTTTTTAACCCTATACATTTGAGATTTTGCTAAAACACCCTAGCCATATAAAAGTTTAATTTCTAACAAAATCACCCCCAAGCAATCGTCGGCCATTGTCACCACCTTCGATCGCTGTCGACAGTCGCCGAAAAGGCAAGGACCGATTGATCTGACCGACCATGCGTCAATCTGGCCATTTCCAGCCAGATCAATGACCATTAATAGATTTGTGGTCGTTAGTAGCCCTGGACCTAGCCGTTAACGGCCGGATATATTTTAGTGTTGTGCGGTATGGATCCAGCTGGTCGTGCACCTTTCCGGCAACGTTTGCTTGTGGTGGCCAATGCCTTAACAAAGTGAAAATCCAAATTTTATGTAATCCGATTTCATTACTTAATTGGCCCAAGCATTTTTACTATAGGTTTTTAATAGCTAAGTGAGAATAGCAGTGTTCATAATTGGTTAATCGATTTTTTAAACTAAATTGGTTTTTCGGTTCAAGAATTTTCCTGAACTGAAATCGAATCGGTTAAGGGAAAAACCGGTTTTTCTTTTAACTCATTTTTTATTTTGATTTTTCTCTAATTTAACTTATTTTTTATTTTGAGAGGGAACAAAAAAGTGAAAGTCGGTGAGGACTGAGGAGAAATGTATGTGTCTGTGTGAAAAAAAAAAAAAAAAAAGAGAAGAAATGCATAAAGGGTGAAGAGTAAAGAGAAAAGGATTTGAATTTTTGGATTTTTTTTTTTTTTTTTAAAGTGAAAACCATTTTTATAAACTAGTCCGGTTAAATGGTTTTAAAATTTCTTTAAACCGGTAACAAAACCAAATTTTTAGTTTATGTATTTCTTTTAACCGAAACCGAACTAGTTTTTCAAATAACCGAAAAACCAGTTTCGTTCGATTTTTACAATTTTTTTAACACCCCTATATGAGACTATACATAAAATATTTTCTTTACATATATATCGCATATTAAAATAAATCAAATTACAAGAATAAATCTGAATTTTTTTGTGTAAATATTAAATTTATTACATAAAATAAAAACCACAGAAATTTGCAGTGATGAATTAAAAAAATAGTATTTTATATAATTTATATTTTTAATATCACACTTTTTCCTTCTTTTTTTTGGGTGCAACCCACATTCCATGTCACATCAATAACTCCTGGCTTCCACTTGATTCCAACAGTGCAAAAGGAGCATAAATTTTTTTATCAACGGAAAGGAAGAGTTGTGGAAAGAGCTTAATGGGAGAATCAAGCCACTAAATTTGCATTTCATTTCATTTTTAACTATTGGAACTTTTGGAGTTGTATTTGTTATATGATTTAAAAGATCCTGTTATATTTAATGTCTCTTGTCTCCCGGCCATTAATAAATATTTTCCAGACTCTCAGAAAGTGATTGAATTTTTACATGTTTTAAATTCCTTAGTATATATATCTATTCTGTCCCTTATTTGATCTATTTAATGAATATATAGATATCATTTTGTCTAGGGATGGGCACGGGCTGGGGACCCTTACCTCTGGACCCGACGAAGGGCCCAAGGGGATTCTCTAAGCCCAACCTGTTCCTGAAACGAGGATGTGGGGCTGGGGCGAGGTCATGACCAGCTCCGTCCCTGGCACATTATCGAGGTCGAGGAATGCTATTGGGCCCATCCCGACTCCCAACTGTTTCGGGGAATCAACACCTCATTTGGGCCAGCGCGGGGCGGGCCAAATGTGCATCCCTAATTTTGTTTATGTTACTGTAATTTAACCCAAGAAAGCAAAATCCAGGTCAAAACAAAATTGACCTAACAACGCTTAATTTATGCTTAACAAAATCTAACCAAAACATTTAAAATTGAACCATCTTATCATTAAATCAAATCGTCAAGAATGACAATTTGAAGATGAATCACATCACAAAAATGAACTAAAAAAAATTAATAATAATAATAATCAAACACCATCGTCACAATACAGATGGCAAATAATCAATGACACTGCAGGTCACAAAAACTTATGCAAAACCAACACCAAATCAAAGCAAATGTTTTTGAGCTAGCTTGGAATCATCACTTCAAATCCTGGTAGATGGGTTGCTTAGATTGGTTAGGTCATTTGAGCCACCTGAACCACTTGGGTTGGTTGGGTTATTTGGGTCAATTGGGTTGCCTGGGTTAATTCCAAGAGTGTTCTTCACTGCATCAGCTGCCCCCTGAGCCATGTTCTTCACTTGCTCTCCGGCTCCTTGAGCCATGGTTTTCACTTGCTCTCCGGCTCCTTGAGCCATGTTCTTCACTTGTTCTGTTTTCTGCAATCAAACACAAATTATTAGTCACCATTTATTAAGACCTTTGAGTAAATTCTAGAAATGAACAAGAACCCAAAACTAGATTATAGTTAATTATTCAAACTAATTAAATTAATCAATGAACTTATATATACACAGTTGGATTCATCTCATTGGACTAACATCATATTATATATATACATATAGGAGGTAAAAAAGAAAAAGGTGATGCCTGTTGGAGGAAGTTGGAGGTTTCGGAGGCGTAAGCACCGGCATTTTCTTTAGTTTCTTGGGATGCTTCAGACGCCTGGTTCAGGATTTCGTCTCTCTTAACCTGAGCTTCGCCGGTGAGTTGGCCTGCAGTTTGAGCAACGTTTTCACGAGATTGCTGGCTTGCCATTTTCTTTAATGAATTGGAATTACTCAAGTGAATGATAATCAAAGAGAAACCAAGTTAATTTATAGCTAAAAAATGTCCAAAATACATGCATTTACTAACACGTAGCACATTCCGTAAGAGTAAACAGTGTGGTCAGGAATGGTTCAAATTAAGTTTGATATAATAACTCAGTCTAAAGAAGAGAAACCCTCGGCTTAGAGTTAGGGAAGACCTCGACTTCATTCATTAACCCTAACTAATTTACTCTAACATTGATTAATTATTCTCTAATGTACAATGTAGCATTTGATTAAATGATTCTGATTATATAATTTGTTGAATTACAATGTGTACCTAAAAGAGTTCAATGAACTCCTGAGTTTGAGTCCCTCAAACACTGATAAGGGTGGTTATTGGAGTTCTTATCCAATTAGCAATTTTAGGGTCCTGAAAAATTATTTGAGGTGTTCAAAAAAATGCAAAAACCGAACCAAACCGATAACCGAACCGAAAAACCGGTTAACCGAAAAAACGGTTCGGTTACGGTTCGAAAAATTCAAAAAACCGAATTTCCGGTTCGGTTACCGGTTTGGGAAAAAATAAAAAGCGGTTAACCGAAACCGGTTTTTTGAACCGGTTTTACAAAAAAAAATATATATATATATATTATATATTAAATAAAAATAAATATTATATATTAAATAAAAAATAATAATATTATATATTATATATTAAATAAAAAATAATAATATTTTTAATGTGTCGTTAGCAATGGTCAATGGATATATATGAATGTCTAATTTTTATTTGGATATGTATTATTTATATTTACAATTTAATTTAGGAAAAAATAAAAAAAATAAGTTTTATAAAAAAAAGGGAAAACCGGTTCAAAACCGGTTAACCGAAAAACCGGTTTTCCCTTCAAACCGGTTCGGTTCAAACCGGTTAACCGCTTTTAAACACCTCTACCGAATACCCCCCCGGTGATTAAAAAAAAAAAAGTGTGGATATATAGTTACATGTGTTGTGTGATGGTAAAAATTTGTGTCGTCTACAATCATTTCTGAAAACAAGAGCATCCTTGACAGCTTTCTTGTACTGATGGTTTAAAATTCTGATCGGCCAACCAACACATTCGATGCAGGTTTAGAGGAAGTCAAATTTATGTTTATGTATAATAAATGACTATTCTCTGAAACAATAAATACATCGGAGAAAGTAATGTCTCGTACCTTTATAATCGCTAGTATAATTTGAATAAGGATATTTGATATTATATTGCTCACACTTTTTTTTTTTTTTTAAATAACTAGGGGTGTTCGGGTTAGTTTATACGTATTTTAACTAATTTTTCAAGACCCTAGAACTATCGATCAGATAAAAACTCTAGTGATTTCCCCTATTAGCAACCGAGGATATTACCCACAAAGTTGCATCGTTGGTAATGTTGTCATAAATTGTTATAGTTTTTTAATAGTGAATTACAATGTTTTAAAACCCAACCTGGGTGAAACTCGACAAAGTGGCCGGGTCTCGGGTTGATCGGTTTAACCTGTTTGACCAGTGGGTCAAACCGATGTCCAAAGGTTTGACATCTAACAAAAATACCCTTAAAATTCTGTAAGTCCCTATAGGTTTAAAATCTTGTAAAAACACCCTAAACACCACCATTGGCATCGACAAATAGGGTCTATTTCTGACGATGACAACACTTCTCATTACTACGAAAACATTCCCCTTAGCCTCTTGAGACCAAAACCCATCTCATGCCTCCCGCGTTTGTCTCCCCAATCGCTGGCAACAACAAGCTTTTTCCAATGACATTGTTTTGCGATTTCCAATCGATTCACTCACCGGAAATCGCCAGTATTGCCACCGTTGCACTCACCGGCCATTCCTCTTTAAAGGTTCTTACATTCCAGTCTTCAATTGTTCACGGATTGATGTCCTAATTTCTAGGGTTTTTAATAAATAGTAAAATTTGTAACCCAACCTGGTGAAGGCTCTGAGTCCCAGTTCAATCGGCTGAGCTAGGTCAGGTTTTAAAACAATCAACATTGAATTATTAAGAAAAATGTTGTATTTTTCTTATTGTTAAAATGAATTTTTTTCCATAAAATATTACATATAATTAAAAATAAATTCCCGTAAGATGTTTAATTATAATTATTTTATTATTTTCTCTCATTTATCTTCTTAATTTCAATTAAAAAAAAAAAAAAAAGAGAAAACATATTCTATAAAAGAGATGTGAGAATGGAAAGATGGAAATCAGCTGGATATGCGTGGGTTACTGTAAGGAATAAGCGTGTATACTCCGCACTGCTGACACGTCGCCATCTACAGAATATAGTACACGTGGCATGATAACACAGGTTCTGTTTGTCCTCATGGGAAATTACAAACCCACGAAGCAACAAGGATCAAAATACTAATACCAAAGCATGGCACGTCCCATCCACGCGTCCGAAAGCAGGACACGTGTTTGCCACCCACAACTTCTCAAACTGTATATATGACCATGCACTCTCCTCTCTGGTTTCACACAGCAAGAAAAAATCTCGGAGAAGCAGAGTACACATCTTCAAGAAATTTCAGTTATCAGTTGATCAAAACAGTGTCAGAAAGAAAAACTATGGCATCTCACAATCAGAGCTACAGAGCCGGTGAAGCCAGAGGCCAATCTGAGGTATATTATATATATAATAAATAACTTTACACGATATCAGCATCTACATATATGCAATGGTGATTCATTGCTTCTGTTTTTCTTTTTTACAGTGATTTGAAGTGATAATCTCATTAGGACTAAGATTTTTAATTATCTAAGTTTTCTCTTGAGAAGGCGCAAGTTTTGAACTTCTTCACCTTTTTTTTTTTTAAACGTGAAGGAAATTCTTGATCTTGGATACAAGAACAATTTCAGCTATTGCTGTTCTTCACGGTTTAAAATTAAGGAATCCTTTTTTTTTTTTTTTTTTTGTACTGATTATACAGCATAAACTAGCACTAGTTTGAAGTTTTGGCTAGAACTGGCTGCTTAATTAAGTAGGTTTGAGGATTGAGCTGAGTATGAATTATTAATGTGGTGGCTAACTTCATTTCTGTAAATGGTTTTGGTATAATAAAAGGAGAAGACTGACCAGATGATGGAGTTATGAAGGAGAAAGCAAGAGAAGCCAAGGAGAAAACAGCTGAGACAGCCCAGGCTGCCAAAGAAAGACCTCCCAGACTACACAAGCTGCGAAAGACAAGACCTCCCAGACAGCTCAAGCAGCAAAGAGAAGGACAGGCCAGATAGGCCAGTCGGCGAAAGACAAGGCCTCAGGGACTACACAAGCTGCGAAAGACAAGACCTCCCAGACAGCTCAAGCAGCCAAAGAGAAGACAGGCCAGACAGGCCAGTCGGCGAAAGAGAAGGCCTCAGGGACCACGGAGGCAGCGAACCAGAAGACACATGAGACTGCCCAGGAAGCCCGAGAGAAGGCTGAGGCTGGGAAGGAGGAGACGAGTGGCATAGTCCAGAAGACTGGGGAGCAAGTGAAGAGCATGGCACAAGGTGCTGCAGAGGCAGTGAAGCATACTTTTGGATTTGACAGCACTGGTGATGATGATGATGATGATGATGAGTATGAAAATAATAAGACCACAAAAACACCTAGCACTACATACAGGAGGGACTATTAATTAATTAGTGTTGAAATATGCAACAAGTTTGTGTTGTGTTGTGTCTGTTTTATTTTACAGTCTGTAGGGCATGCTTTTGAGTCCCTTCATTTTCTGTAAATGAAGGAATATTAGGAGTCCCTTCATTAGTTGTGAATGAAGGTTGGTTGATTTCTGTTTTTCCATCAAGTTTCATGGGAGAAATAAAAAGATTTTAGCTATATTGCAGATTATCATACATAAAGCAATCAAGTTTCCCTTTAATATTATGAACACTGTGATTTGGGATTTGGCTTCTCTCAGAAAGTACAAAGGGTAAGTACTTTCAGCTTGACTGGACTTGAAAGGAAATCAAAGACAAACTTCCGGTTGTTTCTTTAATTCTTTACAACATTGCACGGTTCTCGTCTCTTCAGTTCCGGGAAGAAATTAATCTCCTATCTTTTCTGTCATAAAAATATAAACATAATAATAATTTGTTTATATTAAGGTCACTGTAAATTATGCATACATATGTACAAATTATATATCATCCATGCTTTGGCCTATCATATGGTATAGAATTGGCACAATACTCCAACACGGGTTTCTGATTTCTAGATTCAAGACAAACCTACCTAAAATAGATAAAATCTAAAATAAATAAAATAATAAATACATTGAGCCTATTGCACTTTTTTTTTTTTTTTTTTTTAAATGTTATTTCGAAGAAGTGTTTTAAGTGAAGTTAAGTTGAATCAAATCGAATTGGATTTGAATATGAAAATATATTTGGTAAAATATATGAAAATTATAAAGTTGTCTGATACATTTTTTTAAAAAGATTTTTAAGACAAAATAATTGTTTAATATATTTTCTGAAAATATTTAGATTTTTTTTCACCTCATACATTGTTAAATTAGCTAAACACCCACAATAAAAGTTTAAAAATTAACTAAAGCACCCAAGTCACCTAAGAGGATAATGACCGCCGGCCACCACCGCCATACGGTATTCGACAGTCATCAAAACGAAGCATGATCGACTAGATCTGACCGGTCGTGCGTTGATATGACTGTTTTTGGCTAGATCTACAACCAAATAGATTTAGCTATTAATAGCCAGATCAGAGCACAACCGGCCATATCAGTCTGCAGTAATGGTTGCTAGCAGGCAGTGGTGGTCTTAAGTGGATTAATTTTCAGATTGGAAGGAGAAGAAAAATGCTTTTAGTTGAATAGAATTGGATAATATGAAAACAAGTCCTATATCTATTTGGTCGTCGTCAACAACTTGATCTATGGCCGTAGATCTAGATGTTTCCAGCCAAATCGGAGCACGACTAGCCATATCTGGCTAGTCGTGCGCCGTTCCGACCATGTCAGCCGTTGGCGGAAGCAGCGATGGTGATTTTGGGTGGATTAATTTTCAGATTAGAAGAAGAGAAAAATAAGAAGTAGAGAAAGAAAAATGTTTTCAGTTGAATAGAGTTGGATAATTTGAAAACAAGTCCCAAATCTATCTGACCGTCGTCAAAAGCCAGATCGGCATATGATCGGCCAGATTCAGTTGGCCGTGTGCTGTTCTAGCTACTTCGGCCGACGGTGGTCACTTGTAGAAGCGACGGTGGCCAGCAGTGGTGATCGTGGGTGGATTAATTTACAGATTGAAAGGAGAGAAAAATGAGGAGAGAAAGAAAAATGTTTTTTATTGAATAGAGTTGGATAATATGAAAACGAGTCTCACCATCTTTTCATTTTTAGACAAAAAAATCTTATTTGAATTGGATTAATTTTAAGATTAGATTAGCCCAATAAGTAAACATACATATCCTATTTTTTAATCCAAAAAAAAATAACATAAATTATGATCTAAAATAGTATAACAAATAAGGGCAATATATCTTCAGTGAAAATGACAATACATCCATTATTGGTCCTGATTGGATCAACCTTTTTCAGTACATAGCTTGCTTAATATGAGCATAGGTCAAGACATTTGAATTTACAAAGATCCTCGAAATATCAGTCAAGCAAATTTTTGGACAGACATCCATGTGTATAATTCGTGTTTGTATCTTTCCCCATTGATGAACTCCAATGCAATGGTGTCGCTTGAATCTGTTTTAAACATAGTATCATTGCCCTTCTGAGTGCTTTGATTGAATGCGAAATGCATAGAGTCAAAAATTTCCATTACTCAAAAAGTCAAAACAGAATTAACCAAATGTGAGGTTTATGGGTTTTTCCTACATCTTGCTATTAAGTTAATTTGGTCTACCAAGAATACAACAGGAAAAAAGCTTCAAGCCATTAACATACAACATAGGCCTCAAGAAATTTGGCAGCTCAAGTAAATAATCAAGGTGCCTGGTCTCATGCCGATGTATCTCAATCTGCCAACATGTTTTTGTGCTCATTTGCAATGACACTGCACTCTCTGAAAGTTTTAGAGGGTTTGTAGTCGGTTTGATCGACTGTTTTACTATGATCCGAGATGCTTTTCTGCATATAAAAATCTTCATATATCTCAGGCCAATTCTTTTTTTTTTTTTTTTGATAGGGGTAACCTTCAATCACTCATGCCATCACTCCCTTCAAAATCGCTAATTCCGCCAGCTTCTTCATTGTCTTCTTTTTCTTCGTCTTCATTATCTTGATCAGTATCCATGGCATCTTCAGATTCTTCTTCATCAGTATCCTTGTCCTCGTATATTACAGGTATCACGGCGTCATTCTCTTCCAACCCTTCATCAACAATCTACCAAAAAAACAAAAAGAACCTTTATAACATGACTCCTTGAAAACTCCATTTACAACAAATTATAACATTGTGAGCAAACATACCTCTGAATAAAGGAAGTCCAAGCAACTTGATATTTGAAGAGCCGATTGGAATGTTGAGACTCTAGATTCTATGAGCTGCACAAAGAATTAGAAACACTATTACAGGAGTTCAATAATATAGATGTTTTTCAGTTAATGGCATGCATATAAGAAAGGATTAAATTAACGGTACTGCAATCAATGTTCAGGATTGTAGATAGGAAGGGAAAAAGATTGGAAGTAGTTATAGACTACTTGCAGCATCAGAATGTGAGAAGCATGTAAAACATCAATCTTCGCCTGCCCCGGGGGGAGGGGGGGAATGCCGGCGGGGGAAGGGGCATCATTCCAATAGCAATTTAAAACAATTTTAACTCCTCTTGAGGTCCTCAAAGTGGTGCCAATAGAAGACATCAGATAAATATGATTGAACCAATCCAATGGTAATCTAAAACAACATGGCAATTTTACTGGCATCCAAGAACTTGAATACTTGTTTGCAAAAAATGTTAATAGTGTCACTCATACAAAATATGCACAGAAACTATCATACATATTTGTGCAAGGTAAAATTTAGGCAAGAGTACAATCATGTGTTACATGAATAAGTCACCATTTCTTACCTGGTATAAAGTGTTCAGGGCAAGTAATGAAGATTCCTGGGACATAATTCCGCTAGCATGTTGAAGAAGCAAACTTTTTAGCCACGGAAGGGCACATGCCAATACTGCACCTCTGCAGCAAAAATGTAACAGAGAAACACACTGAGCTTGATAATTTTAGGAATCTAAGTTTATGGTTGACATCAAACACAAACTCAACATGGAAGACAGCAAAAACCCAAGCTTTCTCATCCACTACCAGATAAACAATTAAGAGGTAATCAATCTTTACCTTGACTGAATTATAGATACAAGAGAATGTAAAAGCTTGAGAACGTCAGCTGGTTTTAACTGTGATATTGAATTTGCGATAACCTGCAAAAATAACTTATATTATGTTACCAAATTCTTACACAAAAACAGCTACTATGTCATACTTCATCCAATGGCATAATCTATGAATTGAAAACAACCTTATTATCTTGGTTATATAAGCACTCTAAGAGAAGAGCTCGATCATCTGCATGTAGTGCTTGCTTAAGCAGAACATTAACTGAATCTGCACTTGGAGGCTTTGCAGGAACGGATTCTTGTATTTCATGGCCCTTGGATTTATCATTATCTAGTAAATTCAAATTTGCAAGTTTGTCACCCATTGTAGGCTCATTCAGATCATCATCAATGACTCCATCCATATCCTCCCCATGACCTGTAACCAAAACAGCCATTGAATGAATAAATGTATACCATAGAATCAGCTGCATGTTTTAGGGAAACAGAAATATTGAAAATAACCTCTAAGAATACTATCACCAGGATATAAACATCACAATATCCCCAAGTATAAATGCTGTTAAAAGTGAAAATTCAATTTGGAATCACCATTTTATTCTTCCTTTCACAACAGTACTTGATCCTTTTAGTCTAATACTATCTCAATTTTAAAATAAGACTAATACAACCATGAAACTAGAACCTCTCTGAAAAATACAATCCTTACCACTATCTACAACACTTCTAGTGGTTGCAAGATCAGGATCAGATGCAGCTCGTTTCTTACTTCCTTTTTTAGTTTGGGCTGAAGCGGTGGCTGCTTCAGACTCTGCATCATAAAGACCAGGAACAATTTTCTCTCATTATATTACAAAAACAATAGAATAAATTTCCAATAGGTTGACAGGACGTATATAGATAATATCACAAGGATGGACTCAACTGTGGTTTTCATCACATAAATAAAAGGAAAAAGGGAAGTGATCATCTTACACCCTAAGGTTCAAGGTACAGAATGCTTAGCCTAAGTATATTAATAAAAAACGAAGAAAAAATGTTTTAAGAAGTTTAAGCAGGTGTACAGGAAATAACTAAATGGTAGAGAAGAAAATCTAAGCTTGACTGGATATACTAAAATTTTTACTTGGGATAATCCCCTTCGATTAAAAACAGTTCAAAACAAAGGGTTATTTATGATGATTCCTTAGTACTAGCAAAACAAATTCCATAGATAGAGAGAAACCCTCAAAGACCAATACAGGGGGAAAAAAAAAAAAAAAATAAATAAAACCCTTAAAAGGTTAATGAACCTAATTGTTAGAGAACTACAATTTTTTTTTTTTTTTAATTTATTTAAATTATTCATGTGAACAAGCAACCATTTGAATAACCACTGCGAATGAAATAAAAATGGCCACACCTTTCCCTGTAGGAATCCCATTTTCTCGAATGGTTACAGTTGCATCTCCATCAGTAATAACAATATTCTCCCCTGGGTTACTAATTTTCACAAGACTAAACTGTGGAGAATCTATTGAACCATAACTGATAAGGGCTGTCACCTGTCCATCTGCTTCTACAGCAGTCAATCTGGCAGCAATAATAGAAGTGCGACTCTTCTTCACATTCACACTGTTTTGCAGATCTGCGTCACCTTTGGTAGCTTTTACAGTGATCTTTGTTGGGTTTATTTCTTCATCTTTCGAAATAATCTTCAAATTCCAAACATAAGCTGCACCAGATTCTGAAACTGCTAATATGACTTTACTACCTTCGTCATTTGTACTATTCTTGCATTGAATAGCTAATGGAGGATGTCGCATCAAAAGACCAGGACCGCTACTTGCAGATTTGGAACTGAAATCACAATTCCACACTTGAAGATGTTTTTCCCCAGAACCTGATGTAACAATGGTCTTTGCATCATCAGATATACATAGGTACTGCACTTGACCCTGCAATAACAAAGAAACCAAAATGGCCAAAGCTTTGAGAATATAAATGAAACATCAAAATTTGTTGGCTAATCAAATAACATACCACATCATACACAAACTTCAGAACCTCTTTCCCATTTTCCATGCTTAGAACCCGTAACTTATCACTGGCTAAAGCAAATATTTTCTCATCTGGCACATAAATGAAAAGAGATAACATATAAGAACAAGAATAACTGGGTTAACCAATGCCACAGACTCAAGATAGCTTACCACATGAAAAAGCTAAAGAAGAGATAGGCTTTTTTGAAGCTCCAAACTCTTCTATTACTTCTCCACTTTCTGATTTCATCTTGGAAGCCATTCCACTTCTTCCAACAACATGTAAACTACAGCCATTATTTGCAAAAGCAAGACCAGCAAGTCCACTGCACAAATGAGGGGAGAAGATTAGAATTGGTGCATTAATATGTATCAGAGCAACTCAGAAACTCCTTGCAAAAGATAGAAGAAGTTTACTTACATTAAGAAGATTAAATAACTGTCAGGGTCAGTAGGTGACCCCATGCTAAATCAACAAATAGTAGAAAACTAAAGGTTCTTGTTCATCCTACTGCAACTATCATTAATTAATACAGATTCATACATACAACATGTCTATAAGAGTATGCTATATCAGGGAATTCATTAATTTCATGCACTTCCAGCAACAAGATTTATTAGCAAAACTAAGAACCATACCCAGAGTGATGTCCAGTAGATTTCCACTTCGTCTCTCCAGTAAAAACATCAATCACCAATATTTCACCTTCACTTGTGCCAAGAGCTAATAAGCAAGTACCACGTTCCTTTCTACGCTATAAATTCAAAGACAAGAAAAGAATCGTACAACCAATCAAGTAAGAGGTTTACTTCAAGCAGGAAATACAAAAAAGTATCAATGAAAAACTAATAGGGGTTTCCCATTGAGTTGGAGGCTACCTTCTTTCCAACAAAACTGCATGCTATACATGAATAACCAACTACAGTATCTCCATCTGGCTGCTTCCACTCTGCCAACAGAGTTCCATTGCTTGTGCTCCATATCTACAAAATATGCACTTAATGCTCTTCAGTGTAGGAAAACTTAAAATACCAAGCCCTTGACATTTAACTAGTGGAGACTACTACAGTCTAACCCAGTAATGCTAACTCTCCCAGTACATCACAAGAACTGATAACATTCAGACATCGATTGTTATTAAAACCATGTTGTACAATTAATATTACATTGCAACTCTGATTTTGATGTTACTAGTATCACAATTGATATCGCTAAAATGATGTTGTGAGTCACCAAAATCATAAATTTGATTAACAATACTGGGAGTAGCATCCAAATTCCATCGAATTTCCTTTAATTTTATTGTCAAATAAAAACATTTTCGACTGAGGGGCATATATTCAGAAGTCAGCACAACTTGAATCCTCCCACTCAAATCTAACACATCATTTTAATTGCTGAAACACATTGCTTCACGAATACCAAACATCAACCAGGAAATACAAATATGAACTCAATTGAAATTGTTCGAATATACAATCACCTCACCTCAAATGCGTCATACTAAATTAATTAATTTCAATTCATCACATGAAACTCCCCTTATTCTCAAAGAATGCTTTCAACAATATTTTAGTTTCAAAATATATCTAATTGAATGCTTCAATAGCATATTATTTATTATTATTATTATAAACACAAACCAAAAAAGAAAAAATAAACCCAGATAAAACTTGGTTTAGAAAAAAAAATAAAAACAATCCCAGCATTAAAAAAGACAGAAAGCTTTTCAACTCCTTTGAAAACGTTGATATATTGACAGAAAAAAAAAAATATAAAACAAAAAACTTATATTTCACGATTAATATAGAGAGGGGGAGAGAGAGTGTGTACTTTAACGACACCGTTCGGGTACAAGACTGCGAGGAAGTCCCCGTCAGGAGTGAAAGAAGTTATAAGAGACTTGAGCTTCTGCTTAGCCATCGTCGTCGTCAGATGTTGAGAGGGAGAAAGCGTTTGTGTTGTGTACTCGTGTTTTAAGAAGAAAGGGTTTTGGGTTTAATAGTGAGGAAAATATCAATGAAGTACCCCATACAAAGACTTGTTTCTAAGTAACCCTAGCTATACACCAAATCAATATGTTCATTTCTGTGTAAGTTAACAAATCTAACTTTTTGACAAATTTTAGTTTTTACAAAGATAAAAGAAAATTGATATTATGTTCTATTTCAAAACCTTCAGGAGACCTACTTTTTTTTTTTTTTTTTTGGGAAATTATTATAATTCAATGAATATTCCAAGTCTTAGCAAAAATTTAATCTAATATTAAACAATGGATACTTTAATCCCAAAATTTATAAAATTGAAAACATTATGAATAGTTACCGTGTAGATGCATATTATAATAGCAATTGTGCAGGCCATAACAAATAAGCGAGATCCATTCGAACTGACTATTACGAGCTGTACACGAAATTATAAGAGAAAGTTTGTGAATTAAATTGTAAATTAGTATTACCTTTAGATTTTAGTCGACATTGAAACCCCATGACCCCAAAAATCTTATAAATGTTACTAATTATACATAATCACTGCAAATCACACATACCAGAATCTATATGCTAAAAACTATTTGTATTCACATGACTTTTAGTCTTTAAATAACTTAGTGTGTTTCCTATAGCGATTGGGACTAGCCATTTGCATGATTAGCACACATAAAATGGAGCATAATAATTTAGAATGAACTCATTATGCAACATGTCTTTCCTCATCAGTTTCAGGACTACAATGTCAAGCCTCATCATCGGCTTGTATGTTTCGGAACTTGTGCACCCGCCTGCATGCAAACTTCAACCACCGCAGGTGCCTTACCATAAACCTCTTCAGTGCACTCCTCAAGGGAGGCCCCGTAGTCTTGAACATGCCATACATAATTTGGTGGAAAACTTCGTCCACGACTGCAGGCTGCCAACCATGCTTCCCATCCCTCCACTGGTGCTTATAGGCCCCACATAGCTTAGCATTGTGCCCCCAAGGTCCAACGTGAACCTCTGAGCAGTAACCACATGCTTTCACAGAGTATTTCCTCATCAACTTTGTCACACCTGACTTGACAACCTCATATGCGTCCATTGTCTCTTGTGCAATCCTGGGTACATCCTCCAACGGAGGAGGTGGAAACCGCCATAAACCCCAGCTGTATCAAGATCACAGTGGTGATTTATCTCTAGAACGCCATGGCTTTGGCTCCTCAAAATTCCACCACGATCAACAACTCTCTTTCCAAGCTTCGGATAGGTCTGGTTCTTCGGCGAGATGGGTATTCTGGTATGTCCCACACCGGCTTGGATGCATGCTCCACAACAGCTGGAATCCTGTCATAGTCAAACCTAGTCTCATGTTTAATGCGATGACCGAAGGGTCAAACAAGTGTACGACTCTATTGGGACAAGTACATCATCAACGGAACCCTTGACCCATGTGTGAAACCTTCGACGTGTTCGGCTGGTTGCACCATGGCAGTTCTGAATGAGGTGACCACTCTGGGCAACATGAATTTCCGAGCACTCACTGTCGAAGTGCAAGATATCAAATTTCTAAGACACAGGTCAAAACTGTGAACTGCAAAATGAATTAAGAGTCTCTGTGTATATTTAAATCCAACTTACCTGCAACCATAACCAGTAACATGCAACATCTGTGCAAGGCCTTTGATCAAACTTTTCCAGGCATCTAATACTCATAAGCAACAGGGACCAATTGGGGAACAAGTATTCCATTCTCTGGAGGCTTCAGGGGCTTCTCTATCCCTCTTTCTGCAAGTTTTTTGTCCTTCCTTGCAGCCTGCTTCATCTTCTCTATTGGAATGGGAAAAGGCTCTTCTTTCTCTTGGTAGTATAGGTGGAAGATCCACATTTTGGGTATCCTTTTTGTTTCTTTACAGTTTGTAATGTCCAGATCTCTGGCTAGCACATAGGAGTCCTACACCTTGTTGAATCAACTTTCTGAAACTGCCCAAGCCCAAACTGCATTAGAATGAAATTGAAGTATGAGCTTCCAAAACAATTATCCATAAGAATGTCAGCAAGGACAAACACAAACTTATAGATTCATGATAGGTGTATAACATTTTGCACATAAAAACAAGATAGGCAAATCATTTTATACATCGCATATTCACAGATTTACTTCCAACTAATGTATGATTAAATAAAAAACCAATAGAACATAATCAAGAAAAATAACCTGCAACCATAGAGTGTATAAGCTAGTAGCTGAGAGTTGAGGCCTCAACTCCATGGCACTGTGCTGACACTGTGAAGTGAAGCAATGTCAAAAATTATTTACATAATAATGACACTTGTTTTTAGCTCATTTTGGTAATCTAGCTTACACACACACTTTAAAGCAGAAATACCATTTGCAAAGTAGCACTGTGATTGTTTTATTTTTCACAAGGTGCTAAATTTTTCATTTACACTAAGTACAATATGTGTGATACCTATCTTTGCGCCAAATGAAAATACCCTTCCATTGCCCTTGTCCCATTAACATTTTAATCCTCGATTCAAAATAAGAAAGAAGATAGCTTACCCTTCTGATGGATTCCATACAGAAGGCAGAGCTGGTGGTGTCCGGAGCATTTGTTTCCAAGAGTATTCTAATTGCCTCACGCTTCCTTGAATAAAAACTAAATGGTGCAAATGTAATGTCAGAATCAAAACTTGAAGCGGGGCTTTGTAATTAATGATGTGGGTTTTTATGAGGCAGAGTGATGAAGCAAAACACTTAATTTTGAACCCCAACAATTAAAATTCAGCATTAAAATTTGATTAGAATATCAAACTAACCCGAGCACGGCCACTTAAATAAATACTCAGTTTTCCACTTTTTAATCATTCTTTGACCCATTTCCTCAAGCACATGGTGAGTACAATGCAAAAGAAAAAATACTGCCGCCATCTGCATTCTATCAGGACATATTAAATTGAAAATCTACCGTAGCCATGAAAGAACAAAACAATGAAGCACATAACTTGATTTAATAAAACTTCTGCTATCTGATTACAGTAATTAACAGCATACCCATCTCACGCAATTCATGAAACTCACACGAAAACATTGATTAAGGACCAAATATGTGTCCTTTAACTTAAACAAACCAAAAAAAAAAAAAAAAAAAAAAGATTGATAAATGAAAAAATTTGATTAACTGACCGTGAAAGAACTCTCCGATATTTTTTGACTCGTGCTCGCTCTCTCTGTGTTTTTTAGTTTTTTACTGTTGTTAGTTGCAGAATGTCTCAACAGAACTCCATGGTACTACGGCAAACACACTAATCTATTTGTGGTAACAGAAATTATAATTAATTTTTGTAAATAAAATTACAACCGACAAGTCGTCTGTTAACTGAATTGCAGGACGAACAGTCATCTATACTTTAATTGGATAGACGACGGGTCTTGTACATTCAACTCGACAATAGTAATCTTATCATCATTTAAGAATCACTTGTTTTTAGAACAATATAATAATATTTTCATTTAATGCTTTTTTAGCTTTACATGGAATTTTTTAATATTCACTATACTAAAAAAAAAAATTATGAATTACTAAAAAAAAAAAAAAAGTTGATAATATTATTGGAATATAGTATTTAAAAAATTATTTGAGATATGCATGAAATATTGATTATTTTAGTGGGTAACATGTTAAATTACCTTATTCTCACCTTCACTTCAGTTTTTCATTTATATTTCTTTAAATTTCTTTTGAAAAATTTATGATAATAAGATATTGAGATTTCAAATCCAATGATTCTCATCTTCACCCTTGTATGGGTAAAAAATCGTAACGGGCCTTACAGCCCAAAGACGAAACATATTACATGACTCAGTGTTATGGTCTAACTCCGTTGGGACCACGCTTAGATCCTTGTACAAACCGGCCCATTTCGTAACATGGGTTGTTTATCAAATTAAATTTTTGTAATTGAAATTTGTGAATTGTTTCATTGGAAGTATTTTGGGTTCAGGGATCAAGAATTCTCTAATCTCATAATAATACCATTATTTTGTATGACAAATTGAATGAAGTTTCTGTTTTAAAACTAATGAAAGGATATTTAAATTCTATGAGTGAGGTGATTTTTTGTTGGTTTAATTGGTGATTTTTTTATTCATTATTTTTGTGATTTCGGACTACAAATGGGAAATAACAAAATCAAGATTAAAATCAAAATCAAAACAGATTTATTAATATAAGAATGGCAAATAAACAAAATTAAATCAAAACCAAAATAAAAAACAAGTTATCGAATGAATCCCACACAATTAAAAAAAAAAAAAATTGAAGAAACAATATTCTATATAAAAACCATGAAAAAAAATTAACTAATCCAACTGAAGAGAGAAGTGATGAAATTAAATATTAATTCACTCCAATTTCTCATAATAATCTATAAAATTTAATATTTGCTTAATATTGTATATCCATTTATCCTTCTTCCTTATTGGCTTGTACTCTCCCATCCAAATATAAATAATAAATTTCATCGTAATACCAACAAGGAGGTCTGAGTAGACCTGGCAAAACGGTCTAGACCCGGGTCGGCCCGTACCCGGTAAAAATATAGGGTACAGGTCCAATATATTAAACCCTTTTTTGAGACCCGTACCCGTACCCGGTCCAATATCTCACGGTTTATAACAGGTGAACCCGCGCGCACCCGTATTTACTGGTCACTATTCACTATTCAGTTCACTAATGAATTTTAACCCTAAGTTTTTATCACGCTCACGCCTCTCACAGTCTCACTCATCTCATCTCATCTCTGATCTCTCAGTCTCAGATCGCGGCCGCATCTCATCTCTCATCTCTCAGACTCTCAGTAACTCAAATCTCTCCTACCTCTCAATCTCTCATCAGTCATCAGTCTCTTCGTGCCTAAAGTTCACTATCCCTGTCTCGGTGTCTCCCTCTCAATTAATCGTCACTTCGTCAGTTCATCACTTCGTCAGTTCGTCACTCGTCAGTCATTCCCATTCCTAGTTCGGCAGTACCACAGTAGCCATCGCCGTCACTCACCCTCGTCGCTGATAATGAATCCTAACCCCTAATTTTGTGTGTTTGTTTTTTTGTTTTTTTGACAGATTTTGTGTGAGCTTTCCTTGTACGTCGATCTGTGTCGTTGATGTGTTTGTGTTGGGTTCCCCTGGTTGATGGGTTTTGCAAGTGGGTTTACTTAAATGTATAAGGGATGTATACTGGAATCAATTATTATCGGTTATGTGTATTTGCTAGTCACTGAAATTTATATTTCCAAAACTGTTTTTCCTTAAAAATGTTGACTGATGTCTTTGCCACAAATTTTTTAAATGATTAGCTTTGAAAGATATGAAATACTTTCACTTATTTGACTCAGTTTTATCTAGTTTGAGTTTTTGGCGGAGACAAAATGAGAGGTAGTGAAGACAGCCCAATGAGCATGAATGACTAATAAGATAGCAGGAAGAAAAGTGAACGGCCCAAATCCAGTTTGAAAAAATTTTAATGATATGAAATACTTTCAATAATTGTACTTACTTTTGATATATATTTGAGTTGTTTAGACTGAGAGAAAATGAGAAAGTGAGAGCAATTTATAATTTCTACTTTAGTTTTATTTTTTTGACTTGTTTGGATGGAAAGACCGTGAGAAAATGAGATTTTATTTATTCTTAATCTGGTTGAGTTATTTGACGGAGAGAAAATTTGAGAAAGTGGAAGAAAATAAGATTTTTACTTGGTTTTAATCTTCTTTGGTTGTTGGGGCAGAGAAAATTGGGTAGAAAGAAAATGTGAGAAAGTGAGAGAAAATTGGAATTTAATTTAGTTCTATCTATTTTGAGTTGTTTGGACGAAAGCAAATGTGAAAAAGTGAGAAAATTTAATTGTACTTAGTTTTAATCTGTTTTAGTTATTGGGGAGGAAATGTGAAAACGTGAGAATAAATTAGATACAATTTGGTTTGAGTTGTTTGGGCAGAGAGGAAATTTACTAAATTGCAAGAAATCTGGGAGTTCAGGGAATTGAGAGAATCAGAAACTTTTCTAGTGGCTTCCATTTAATTTATTTGTTTGGAATGAATTGAATCGTCAATTACATGAGTATTTTTTATGCTTAAGTATTTGGGAAGAAGCTCTTGTATTGGCTACCATTTGAGGTGGCATTCATAAATTATTGTTCTTACAAGTTTATTTGGATTAGTTAAAATTGTGAAATTTCTTGATTTCATTCATTGCAGCGGATATTGTGTTCTATTATCGGTAGAAGGTGACGAGGTCGTTTGATTATCTTCAAGGAGATTATTAAATAGCTCCATTGTTCATGGTAAGTTTTTATACTGTCTTTAGTGTAGTTGCTAATGATGGTTTATGTGGATTTTTTTATTTATTTTTCTCAAAATGAGCCATGAATGCCATGCTACCCTAGAATTTAACTATTTTGTCTTGCTGATTTTTTGAATTGATTATGTTAGCTGGGTTGTGTTTTTCGTTGTTTTTTTATTTCTATTGGTGTGTTTTTTAGTATGGTTTTAACAGTCTTTTTGATAAATAGTTTATATGCTTTCTTTTCCTTTTGGTTGAAGACCGAGTGAAGAATTTGGCATGAATTGTTGTCTCTAAATTTTTTATGTTTGGCTAATTTATTTAACCTCTAATTTTCCACCTTTATCACTCGAACTTGGCTATATGGATATGAGTTTGAAGGTAACATGTTAACATAATATTTCATATATTTTATTATTTACATTTATTAATATTTGTAATTGATCATTGTTTTGTAGATGATGAGGTGAATGATGATTCGGATGATCATCTTAATGTGCCATTGACTGATCTCGAGACTGTGGAATCAAGAGACTTTATCACGCCCACTGTGGGATGAACATTTGTTATCCTAAGAATGTTTTTTGTTGAATATTGGATTATGTATTTGTTTATTTTAGTTGGTATTTATAGTTTATTGACTTATTTTGTTTGTTTATGTGTAATTGTGTATTAGTGATTTTGTATTTGTTTATTTTGGTTGGTATTTGTAGTTTTGTATTATATGTTATTGTTTGTTTATGTGTTATTTGTTTATTTTGGTTCCTATTTGTTTATATTCTTAATTGAATTGAATTTAGAGTAGTTGATTTAGGGGGTGTAAATGTAAAAAATTAAAACTGTAGGAATTTTGGGGGTGTAATTGTCATAATTGAAAATTATTAGGGGTGAAATTGTAAAAACTAAAATTTGGAGAGAGAAAAAACGGGTCCACCCGTACCCGTATAGGGTAGGGCACGGGTCCAAAATATTGGATCCGTATATATCGACCCGTATAAGGGCCTGTACCCGTTTGACCCGGCCCACCCACCCGTTTTGCCAGGTCTAGGTCTGAGCTCTGCAATATTAATCTCTTAACACAATCTTCATAACTAAAGGCTACAAAAGTCNTTATACATAATCACTGCAAATCACACATACCAGAAATCTTATATGCTAAAAAACTATTTGTATTCACATGACTTTTAGTCTTTAAATAACTGAAGTGTGTTTCCATATAGCAGTTTAGGACTAGCCAATTTGCATGATTAGTACACATAAAATGGAGCATAATAATTTAGAATGAACTCATTATGCAACATGTCTTTCCTCATCAGTTTCAGGGACTACAATGTCAAGCCTCATCATCGGCTTGTATGTTTCAGGAACTTGTGCACCCGCCTGCATGCAAACTTCAACCACCGCAGGTGCCTTACCATAAAACCTCTTCAGTGCACTCCTCAAGGGAGGCCCCGTAGGGTCTTGAACATGCCATACATAATTTGGTGGGAAAACTTCGTCCACGACTGCAGGCTGCCAACCATGCTTCCCATCCCTCCACTGGTGCTTATAGGCCCCACATAGCTTAGCATTGTGACCCCAAGGTCCAACGTGAACCTCTGAGCAGTAACCACATGCTTTCACAGAGTATTTCCTCATCAACTTTGTCACACCTGACTTGACAACCTCATATGCGTCCATTGTCTCTTGTGCAATCCTGGGTACATCCTCCAACGGAGGAGGTGGAAACCGCCCATAAACCCCAGCTGTATCAAGATCAACAAGTGGTGATTTATCTCTAGAACGCCATGGCTTTGGCTCCTCAAGAATTCCACCACGATCAACAACTCTCTTTCCAAGCATTCGGATAGGTCTGGTTCTTCGGCGAGATGGGTATTCTGGTATGTCCACACCGGCTTGGATGCATAGCTCCACAACAGCTGGAATCCTGTCATAGTCAAACCTAGTCTCATGTTTAATGCGATGACCGAAAGGGTCAAACAAGTGATACGACTCTATTGGGACAAGTACATCATCAACGGAACCCTTGACCCATGTGTGAAAACTTCGACGTGTTCGGCTGGTTGCACCATGGCAGTTCTGAATGAGGTGACCACTCTGGGCAACATGAATTTCCGAGCACTCACTGTCGAAGTGCAAAGATATCAAATTTCTAAGACACAGGTCAAAACTGTGAACTGCAAAATGAATTAAGAGTCTCTGTGTATATTTAAATCCAACTTACCTGCAACCATAAACAGGAATAACATGCAACAGCTGTGCAAGGCCTTTGATCAAACTTTTCCAGGCATCTAATACTTCATAAGCAACAGGGACCAATTGGGGAACAAGTATTCCATTCTCTGGAGGCTTCAGGGGCTTCTCTATACCTCTTTCTGCAAGTTTTTTGTCCTTCCTTGCAGCCTGCTTCATCTTCTCTATTGGAATGGGAAAAGGCTTCTTCTTTCTCTTAGGTAGTATAGGTGGAAGATCCACATTTTGGGGATATCCTTTTTGTTTCTTTACAGTTTGATAATGTCCAGATCTCTGGCTAGCACATAGGAACGTCCTACAACTTGTTGAATCAACTTTCTGAAACTGCCCAAGCCCAAACTGCATGTAGAATGAAATTGAAGTATGAGCTTCCAAAACAATTATCCATAAAGAATGTCAGCAAGGACAAAACACAAACTTATAGATTCATGATAGGTGTATAACATTTTGCACATAAAAACAGAGATAGGCAAATCATTTTATACATCGCATATTCACAGATTTACTTCCAACATAATGTATGATTAAAATAAAAAACCCAATAGAACATAATCAAGAAAAGATAACCTGCAACCATAGAGTGTATAAGCTAGTAGCTGAGAGTTGAGGCCTCAACTCCATGGCACTGTGCTGAACACCTGTGAAGTGAAGCAATGTCAAAAATTATTTACATAATAATGACACTTGTTTTTAGCTCATTTTGGTAATCTAGCTTACACCAACACTTTTAAAGCAGAAATACCATTTGCAAAGTAGCACCTGATGATTGTTTTATTTTTCACAAGGGTGCTAAAATTTTCATTTACACTAAGTACAATATGTGTGATACCTATCTTTGCGCCAAATGAAAATACCCTTCATTGCCCTTGTCCCATTAACAGTTTATCCTCGATATCAAAATAAAGAAAGAAACTAGCTTACCCTTCTGAGATGGATTCCATACAGAAGGCAGAGCTGGTGGTGTCCGGAGCATTTGTTTCCAGAGTATCTATTGCCTCACGCTTCCTTGAATAAAACTAAATGGTGCAAATTTAATGTCAGAATCAAAAACTTGAAGCGGGGCTTTGTAATTATGATGTGGGTTTTTATGGAGAGGTGATGAAGCAAAACACTTAATTTTGAACCCCAACAATTAAAATTCAGCATTAAAATTTGATTAGAATATCAAACTAACCGAGCACGCCACTTAAATAAATACTCATGTTTCCACTTTTTAACTCATTCTTTGACCCATTTCCTCAAGCACATGGTGAGTACAATGCAAAAGAAAAATACTGCCGCCTATCTCATTCTATCAGGACATTTTAAAATTGAAAATCTACCGTAGCCATGAAAGAACAAAAACATGAAGCACATAACTGATTTAATAAAACTTCTGCTATCTGATTACAGTAATTAACAGCATACCCATCTCACGCAATTCATGAAACTCACACGAAAACATTGTTAAGGACCAAATATGTGTCCTTTAACTTAACAAAACCAAAAAAAAAAAAAAAAAAAAGATTGATAATAAAAAAATTTGATTAACTGACCGTGAAAGAACTCTCCGATATTTTTTGACTCGTGCTCGCTCTCTCTGTGTTTTTATAGTTTTTTAACTGTTGTTAGTTGCAGAATGTCTCACAGAACTCCATGGCTACGGCAAACAACTAATCTATTTGTGGTAACGAAATTTATAATTAATTTTTGTAAATAAAATTACAAACACAAGTCGTCTGTTAACTGAATTGCAGGACAACAGTCATCTATACTTTAATTGGATAGACACGGGTCTTGTACATTCAACTCGACATAGTATCTTATCATCTTTAAGAATCACTTGTTTTTAGACAATATAATAATATTTTCATTTTAATGCTTTTTTTAGCTTTACATGAATTTTATTAATATTACACTATACATAAAAAAAAAAAATATATGAATTACTAAAAAAAAAAAAAAAAGTTGATAATATTATTGGAATATAGTATTTAAAAAATTATTTGAGATATGCATGAAAATATTGATTATTTTAGTGGGTAACATGTTAAATTACCTTATTCTCACCTTCACTTCAGTTTTTCATTTATATTTCTTTAAATTTCTTTGAAAAATTTATGAATAATAAGATATTGGAATTTCAAATCCATGTTCTCATCTTCACCCTTGTATGGGTAAAAAATCGTAACGGCCTTATCAGGCCCAAGACAAACAAATATTACATGACTCAGTGTTATGGTCTAACTCCGGTTGGGACCACGCTTAGATCCATTGTACAAACGCCCATTTCGTAACATGGGTTGTTTATCAAATTAAATTTTTGTAAATTGAAATTTGTGAATTGTTTCATTGGAATTATTTTGGGTTCAGGGATCAAGAATTCTCTAATCTCATAATAATACCATTATTTTGTATGACAAATTGAATGAAGTTTCTGTTTTAAACTAATGAAAGATATTTAAATTCTATGGTGAGGTGATGTTTTTGTTGGTTTAATTGGTGATTTTTTTTATTCATTAGTTTTGTGATTTCGGACTACAAATGGGAATAAACAAAATCAAGATTAAAATCAAAACAAAACAGATTTATTAATATATATGAATGGCAAATAAACAAAATTAAATCAAAACCAAAATAAAAAACAATTTTCGAATGAATCCCACACAATTAAAAAAAAAAAAAATTGAAAAAGAAACTAATATTCTATTTAAAAACCATGAAAAAAAAATTAACTAATCCAACTGAAGAGAAGAAGTGATGAAATTAATATTAATTCACTCCAATTCTTCATAATAATCTATAAAATTTATATTTGCTTTAATTTGTATATCCATTTATCCTTCTTCCTTATTGGCTTGTACTCTCCCATCACATATAAATAAAATATTTTCATCGTAATACCACAGAGGTCTGAGTAGACCTGGCAAAACGGGTCTAGACCCGTGGGTCGGCCCGTACCCGGTTAAAAAATTGGGTACAGGTCCAATATATTAACCCCTTTTTTGAGACCCGTACCCGTACCCGGTCCAATATCTCACGGTTTTAACAGGTGAACCCGCGGCACCCGTATTTACTGGTCACTATCACTATTCAGTTCACTAATGATTTTTAATCCCTAAGTTTTTTATCACGCTCACGCCTCTCACAGTCTCACTCTCATCTCATCTCTGATCTCTCATCTCAGATCGCGGCCGCATCTCATCTCTCATCTCTCAGACTCTCAGTAACTCAAATCTCTCCTACCTCTCAATCTCTCATCAGTCATCAGTCTTCTTTGCCTAAAGTTCAACTCCCTGTCTCGGTGTCTCCCTCTTCAATTAATCGTCACTTCGTCAGTTCATCACTCGTCAGTTCGTCACTCGTCATTCATTCCCATTCCTAGTTCGGCAGTACCACAGTAGCCCAGTCGCCGTCACTCACCTCGTCGGCTGATATGAATCCAACCCCTAATTTGTGTGTTTGTTTTTGTTTTTTTGACAGATTTTGTGTGAGCTTTCCTTGTACGTCGATCTGTGTCGTTGAGTGTGTTTGTGTTGGGTTCCCCTGGTTGATGGGTTTTGCAAGTGGGGTTTACTTAAATGTATAAGGGATGTACTGAATCAATTATTATCGGTTATGTGTTTTGCTAGTCACTGAAATTTATATTTCCAAAACTGTTTTTCCTTAAAAATGTTGACTGATGTCTTTGCACAAATTTTTTAAATGATTAGCTTTGAAAGATATAAACTTTCACTTATTGACTCAGTTTTAATCTAGTTTGAGTTGTTTGGACGGAGACAAAATGAGGTAGTGAAGAACAGCCCAATGATGAATGACTAATAAGAGATAGCAGAAGAAAAGTGAACGGCCCAAATCCAGTTTGAAAATTTTAATGATATGAAATACTTTCAAATATTGTACTTACTTTTGATATATATTTGAGTTGTTTAGACTGAGAGAAATGAGAAAGTGAGAGCAAATTATAATTTCTACTTTAGTTTTATTGTTTGACTTGTTTGGATGGAAAGAAACTGAGAAAATGAGAATTTTATTATTCTTAATCTGGTTGAGTTATTTTAACGGAGAGAAAATTTGAGAAAGTGGAGAAAAATAGAATTTTACTTGGTTTTAATCTTCTTGATTTGTTTGGCAGAGAAAATTGGGTAGAAAAAAATGTGAGAAAGTGGAGAAAATTGGAATTAATTTAGTTCTATCTAGTTTAGTTGTTTGACAGAAAGCAAATGTGAAAAAGTGAGAAAATTAATTGTACTTAGTTTTAATCTGGTTTTAGTTATTGGAGAGAAATGTGAAAACGTGAGAATAAATTAGATACATTGGTTTGAGTTGTTTGGGCAGAGAGGAAATTTACTAAATTGCAAGAAATCTGGGAGTTCAGGGAATTGAGAGAATCAGAAACTTTTCTAGTGGCTTCCATTTAATTTATTTGTTTGGAATGAATTGAATCGTCAATTACATGAGTATTTTTTATGCTAAGTATTTGGGAAGAAGCTCTTGTATTGGCTACCATTTGAGGCATTCATAAATTATTGTTCTTACAAGTTATTTGGATTAGTTAAAATTGTGAAATTTCTTGATTTCATTCATTGCAGCGGAATTGTGTTCTATTATCGGTAGAAGGTGACGAGGTCGTTTGATTATCTTCAAGGAGATTATAAATAGCTCCATTGTTCATGGTAAGTTTTTATACTGTCTTTAGTGTAGTTGCTAATGATGGTTTATGTGGATTTTTTATTTATTTTTCTCAAATGAGCCATGAATGGCCATGCTACCCTAGAATTTAACTATTTTGTCTTGCTGATTTTTTGAATTGATTATGTTACTGGGTTGTTTTTTTCGTGTTTTTTTATTTCTATTGGTGTGTTTTTTAGTATGGTTTTAACAGTCTTTTTGATAAATGTTTATATGCTTTCTTTTCCTTTTGGTTGAACGAGTGAAGAATTTGGCATGAATTGTTGTCTCTAAATTTTTTATGTTTGGCTAATTTATTAACCTCTAATTTCCACCTTTATCACTCAACTGGCTATATGGATATGAGTTTGAAGGTAACATGTTAACAAATATTTCATATATTTTTATTATTTACATTATTATATTTGTAATTGATCATGTTTTGTAGATGATGAGGTGAATGATATTCGGATGATCATCTTAATGTGCCATTGACTGGATCTAGACTGTGGAATCAAGAGACTTTATCACGCCCATTGTGGGATGAACATTTGTTATCCTAAGAATGTTTTTGTTGAATATTGGATTATGTATTTGTTTATTTTAGTTGGTATTTATAGTTTATTGACTTATTTTGTTTGTTTATGTGTAATTGTGTATTAGTGATTTTGTATTTGTTTATTTTGGTTGGTATTGTAGTTTTGTATTATATTTTGTTTGTTTGTGTTTGTGTTATTGTTTATTTTGGTTCCATTTGTTTATATCTTAATTGAATTGAATTTAGAGTAGTTGATTTAGGGGGTGTAAAGTAAAAAAATTAAAACTGTAGGATTTGGGGGTGTAATTGTCATAATTGAAAATTATTAGGGGTGAAATTGTAAAACTAAAATTTGGAGAGAGAAAAAACGGGTCCACCCGTACCCGTATAGGGTAGGGCACGGTCCAAAATATTGGATCCGTATATATCGACCCGTATAAGGGCCTGTACCCGGACCCCGGCCCACCCCCCGTTTGCCAGGTCTAGGTCTGAGCTCTGCAATATTAATCTCTTAACACAATCTTCATAACTAAAGGCTACAAAAGTCACATCATAGTTATTACTTTAAAGTCTTTGAAGTATAATAGAAATATATGGATTTATTATGAATTTTTTTTTAATAGAAATATATGAATTTGAATATTTTTGCAGATTTGAAGACTATAGATAAGAGAATTGATCCTATGATCGAATCTCGGCGTTGCCTCCTTTTCTCATTCATCACCTCATGTCTTACCTCTTTGTTAAACAAGTAGCTCAAATTAGAATCTTATCAAAGAAATGGAATT